GATCAGATAAGAGTCTTCAGGATTTTTTAAAAGGGAAGTTACTGACAGACAGTACAACGTGCTTTCTGATTGTTTACTTTCAACTGCCCTGGCCATCTGATATTTTTCTTTGGGTAGTTCTGCCTTGAAGAAGCTTAATATGGGAAGGAAAACTGCCTTTTGAATCAAGATTATTTATAGCTACCCTCCCAAAAGTGTAAAAGAAAGCTTTAACTTTTTTACAATATTAGACATTTTTCTTCTAAAGATTTGTTCTGTGCCTTGATCTGAACAGCACATGGCCCCTTTGTCTTTTAAGTTTCTGATGCATGGTTTATTTATAAAAGAGATGGAGTTTTGAAAGCCATGTTAAGTGGATTACAGCTAACCAGAGCTCTGTTGAAATTCACATTCAGCCTGTTAAAATGCTTGCTCATTTGGAAATTTTAATCTGGAAACCTCAGATGCAAAATTAGACTGAAAAGGGAAATGGATTGACAGTGGAATGTTCTGAGTGTTTGAGCCACTGTTGAGTGTGTTTGTTTTTTCTGTGTTTTGGATTGTGTGAAAGGGAACTTTCGGGGGTGGGAGAGGTGGAGGAAGATTTCTGTTCTCCATTCTTGGTGCACTTTACTTTTTAGAATCACTCTAAAGTCAATCAGGTAAAAGGATAGTTGCATTTATACCCATGCACTACTGATGACCTAATCACCTCGTAATGTATGTGACAACATGTATTATTTGCGCTTGTGTCTTTGTGCTAAAGACACATCGTAGTGCTGTTCAGAGTAGTTGTTTTTGAAAGATGCTTTATTACCTTATCTCTTACTTTCTCTGTCAAGAGCTGCAGTATTTGTTTTGACTGTCTATAAGATGGGGAAGCCACTCAGCAGACCAGACTGTTTACGTCAGAATCCTCCATGTGTAGGGAAGGGTGAGGAAGAAGAGGACCTAAATATCGAAGACTGCTATGTCCCACAGCGGTCGATTTATGATACAGTCAGACTAAATGAACAGATAGACTCTGGCTCAAAAGGTAGCCTGTCTTCCAGGCACTTTACAGATCGGACTTTACCCTACAATCACAGAACACTGGATGTTAGTTCTTTATGCTCTAACGGTGGCCTTACTTCTTCTAGTGTGTTTGAGCTGAGAGGCCGTGAAGCTAACAAATTAGATGAAAAGATGATCTTTGATGCACTCAAACTAAATAGTGATATTATTCGAACCACAGGATTACCCAAAGCCAAATCTCATGCAGAAAAGAAAGAGCATAGACGTTCGTGGCGAATGTTTGTCCCAGCTAATTTTGTGGATTATGCAAACAAAAGTGAAACCTCTTTTGTTGAACCTATTGACATGTCAGATGCTGTTTCCAAGGCCAGCAAGTGCAGATGGGGTACAAGTTCTCTAACTTCTGAGGAAGATGACTCTGGTTTATGTAGTCCTCCTGCAGAAAGGGAAGAAAAACAGGGGATTTTAACTAGAGACCAGTCACGAATGAGAAGCTTGTCTTCTGCTGAAGATATTCATGTAACAGAGCAATATAGACCTGCTTTTTCTGTTAATTCCATTAGTGAACAGAAAATACCCCTGCTTTCATGTAGAGATGCCCACCCTGAGGATAACTTCAAAATGATTTTACACAATGTCTCTCCACTGGAAGAAACAAAATGTGTAAGTGGTCAAAAGGCAATCCATGATGACAGTTGCCTGCAAAATGATTTGAAAGACAACACTCAGTGTGATCCATTACTTATGCCAAGAGATGGGGAAAACACGCATCTTTCTAACTCCGGACAAGAGGAGCAAACTTACTGCCCAGGAGACTTACAAATTATAGCACAAAGTGTGGAACTCATGAAGGATCTCCCACACGAGGCAGAGCTGTCTGCCAGAGACCTGGGGGGCAGGGATGCAGATTGCAGTAGCCCAGGTTTGGTAGAAAATGTGACACTGTCTACACAGTATGATTTAGAAGAATCCAGCATAGCCTCTAATGGGGAAGGGGAAGCTTCCCTTTTTGCCCAGAACATGGAGGGGACTCCTACTAAGGGCTCCCTGAAATTGGTACCAGTAAGAAAGAAAGCAGCATCCAGAAAAACAGAAGGCCAGGCAGGAATTTTGGATACAGTCTGCAATGGCTTCCAGTTGGGCCAGGTAATTCATGGAACTGTGAAGCTACAGTACTAGAAGCTTGTGCTTCTCTCTCCAGGTAGTCACCAGTGTTTCTTAGTTATGATCAAATCCAGGCATTTATTTGGAGGGTTTGACAGGCATCCTGTAAGATGCCAGCTATTGATGAGTGATCATTACTACAGATTAATTAGGGACCAGTTTGAGGGAAGGGCAGTTATTCCCGCTGTTGAGGGTCCTGCTAGTGGTGTTGTGGACGGTGCTGTCCACTTCATGCAGAATGCCTCCCCTGTGAGTTCAGTTTAATGTTGGGCTTTCACAGTTGTGACTGAAAACACTGCCATTTAAGGGCAGTTACATTGGGTTTATTAAGCTTCAGCAGGCTTAGTCACAAAGGTACAAGCACAGTATTATATTGTTGTTATCTTAACCCAATTTAAGGACTTTTTAAAAAGTGCTGCAGATGTTCCCTCAGAAACTGCATGGGAGAGTGGAGAAGTTAAAGTTACTGAGCTGTTTGTGCAGGCGCTATGGCTCTAACTTTTTTTTATTAGTGCTTGTTTCCTAACTTTTTATGATTTAGGATGAGGTAAGAAAGTAAAGGGTGCAGCCTTGTAATAAGCAAGAGGTTGTTTTTCAAGCCTGTAATTTTTTTCTTCCCAGTCAGATTGAAGTTCAGCTATTTTTGTACTTTTACTAACTCTTCTGGTAAACTTTGCCTCTGGGGCTATTTTATTTTAGTTTCTCGGTGTTTATGAGCTAGCTGGCTTCTTTGTGTTGGTTTGTGTGTGTGGGGGTGTCTCTCCCTAGGTATCTTGTTACCGCTGATAAGGAATTTAGACACTCTCATAGAAGTTCTGTCTGAAATAATTGCTCTAGTCAACAGTGCCCTTTCCTTTGGCATGCAGCAGAAGGCCTGCTGATTTAAAGGCCTAGCGAAATACTTTCTTTTCCTTGTAAGGGATTTTACAGTTTATTTGCAGGTAATATTTTTTTCCATTTTAATCCTTAGTATATTTTTGTAGTACTTTGGGAAATTACCAGAGTCACCTAGACCTGTTTTGATATACACCCTTAAATTTTACTTAAAACCAAGATCAGAAGTTAAGGAAATTTACTAGAACTTCTTATTAGTTGGGTTTTTTTCCCCCTAGTACTGAAAACTGTCAGAGGAGAATAAAACCTTTTCCTAAGTAACTATATGCTATACAAGTTCCTGCAAATAAGAATGTGGCAGTTGTTCTAGATCCCCCACATTTTTTGTAAATAATTAAGTATTCAAAGCTATTAGTTACTAGAAGCAGTCGCTTAGAAAATGGTATGTGAAAGATACAAGACTGCACTGCCAAATTCTATCTTTATCACCTTGTTGCAACTTGCTGCTGAGTTACTGGGTAAGTTACTTGGAAAATATATGAAAACTCCTTAAATTCTTTCTTCAGTGATTTGGGAGAATCTTATGTTTATGTGCAGTTAATTTTTATAATTAGTATTGTTGCGTAGAAACAATTATCCAGTATTGGAATTGTGTGTATGGATTTTCTGTAGAAAAAGCAAGTTGGGCTTGAGGCAGGGAGGAGCCTTTTAGAGGAAATGGTTACTAATTTGTTTTCTGTTTTCCAGTACCTTCATTCACATAATAACACAGGCGTATCCTGTGTGCTAGGCACCTGGCCAGGTTCTGGAGAAGAGCTTGTCACCTGCAGCCTCTACATCTTTCAAAATTAGTTTTCATGCTGTGCCTGTCATTTTTTTGAAGTGCTATTTTAATATTTGCCTTTATTATGTTTCCATCTATTTTGTTTATCCATTCATTGATTACTTGTGTAATAGCCTTTAGTACAGAGACTCAAAGTCCCAAACTGTGTTTTAGCTTAATATGGGGCTGACCTGCCAGCCCCACATTACACATTTATATTACCCATGAAAGAATTACTGTGTCAGGTCCCAGTGTTTCTTTTAAGGGATTGATGCCCACTCACCTGAGCTGGAAATAAACTTCTTCATGGTGGTGTTCATTCAGCACCTAATTATTGCATATATATTACACACTGAGTAACTGTGGTGGCTCCAGGGCATAATACTGCCATAAGGAAGCAGTTGGCGATTTCAACTTCCATGGAACCTGCAGTTGAACACATTGAATGCTTTGCTAGACACAGGCACCCCGGGACCATAAGTTGCATGGGGATGGAGCGTAGGGGAGGGAACGCGAGGAACCTGCGGGCAGCAGTTTGCAGGGGTGGTGGCGGACAAAGAGGAGCCAGAGTCATCGTGCTGCTTACGTGTGTGATCAGATCTGTGGATGAGGCCACTGTACCTCTTGCAAGCCTACTGCCATCTTTATAAGCATCAGAGGGGCTGGATGTGTGGGGACCCTTGCTGGCTCAGCGCACGCCTATGTCTTTCTCTCTTTCTCTCTGTTCATGTGTTTGACCTCTGAGTCCCCTTCGTTTTCTTGGCACAATTCTCCTTTTCCAATTTGAGTCTCACGCTATAGTTGCCAGCTAGCAGCATCCTTCTGAGAAGCTCTGAGAATTCCTCCCCAGTGAGGCTCATCTTCCCCTTCTACTCTTAGCTTGTTCTGTAATCTTTCTCTAGAATTAAATTAGGACAATAGGACATTTCTCAGGCTATGATAAGGAAGCAGTACAGGACGCATAATGCTATCTTCTTGTTTTATAGGTAATCTGATTAAATATACAATCTCATTCTTGATATCCTTAAATTACTTTGATCTTAAAAATTTTTATTTAATTTACTTTCACACTGTTATTCATAAGAACCAATTATCTTTACTTCTATAATAACTCTAAGTTTTTACTACCTGGGACTAAACAAACACTCACTCTGTATTGGATGTGTTGTGGCTCTTCCAACTGCAGGTTTTCCAGAAGGAAGAGATTGAACCCTTGCAGGTGAAACAGCAAGATGTAAACTGGCTGGGTCAAGGGCTTATTCAGAGTGCTGCTAAAAACACCAGCACTCAAGGCTTGGAGCATGACCTGGAAGATGTTAGTGCACGGTGGAAAACTCTCAATAAGAAGGTAATTTTTTCATCCCCTTCATAATTTTTGTTAATTATTATTCACTAGCATTTATTGTGACCCTTCATCAGATTTATAGTAATCAAACTTTCCTAAATATGTCTCCTTTTTGTATTGCTATAAGCTAGATGGCCCAAACACAGATGCGCCCAAGAACCGTGGTAGTTAGGGAGCATAGAGGAAAGAAGGGAGCTGGGAGAAACTGGGCCTGTCCCTGTCGTGGTCTGATATCGATACAGCTACAGGCACATGGCCAGAGGCACAGCGGGTGTGGCGGCAAGCAGCTGGGAAACTGCCCCAGTTGAGAGAACAGGTGCCTTGGAGGGCTGGGACTCCTCTTCAGGCAGCCACTGGCGTGTAGGGGTGCAGGTGCACCGCTGCTATACACTCTCCTTACTGCCCAAAGCACCTGGAGATCTCACCTTCTATGCAAAGCCTTTGCGCTGTCAAATGTTGGTAATTAATTTCCTACTGTGCAAGTGAAAGAAGCAATGTCTCTGTCAGCCCTAGGCCAAAGGTCTGCAATCCTCACTGTAGACTGTCAGTTCCAAATATTATTCTCCCCCAAATTCCATGAGAGAAAATGCTAGAAATGGTGCTCTGTTATCTTAGAGCATAATGTGGATGCACAAGTGGCTCATGACATGAGTGATCAGATGTTGCCGTGGGATAGCAGCGCTTGTTAGTGGTAGTGCCTGTTCTTCTGTGCATTGAAATCGTAAGCAGTTTCCAGATCTTAAAACCACATCATCTTTAAAGGTCTCAATACAGAGGTAATTTTCTTATGGATAATGATTCACATTAAGCACAAATTGGAATGTGGTGTCAGGTGTAAGTTTATTCTATAACACAGTATCTTGCCAACGTTTTTCAGTCCAAAAGGAGATCTATGGAAACCGCAATAGGACAGCTTTATGTAGGACACAAAGCCTAGAAAGACCTTAGAAGATAAAGGCCCTGGTTTGTTAAAAAGGGACTCAGGACCTGGTGCTAACAGAATTTAACAGTGTTTTATAGTTGTTTTGCATGCCAAAATATTAATAGTTCTGACTCTCTTTGCTATAATAATCCTTGTAATCCTAGTCTTTTATCATTATCCCTAATATTCATCAGTAGGAAATAAAAAGTGAATCCCAATAGTGATAAAATGATAAAGCACAGTTTTTTGTTAATTGTAAATATTTGAGCCACTTTTTGCTAACCACAAATACACCGGGCATTTCCAGACTCTCAAAGATGTAGTCTCTGTCTTGACTGTTTGGGATGGTCACCTTGTCTTCATGACTTACTTGCTGAAGTTTGATTCCTCTTCACTCCTATCCCGGCTGTCAGTGCTTTGTGTAGATTTTAAGAAAAAATCAAGAGAAAATGTGTGATGAAACGAGAAAATAAGCAAGAACAGTGGTAGCCAGTGGCGGATTTCATTATAAGTAAGCAAACTGAAGCACCTGGGCCTTCACAGGTGGCTCAGCGAGCAGCCCAGATGCAGGAGGCCCTGCTGCGCTGCGGCAGGTTCCAGGATGCCTTGGAGTCCCTGCTCAGCTGGATGGTGGACACCGAGGAGCTTGTGGCCAATCAGAAGCCCCCGTCAGCCGAGTTCAAAGTGGTGAAGGCCCAGATGCAGGAGCAGAAGGTAAGTTAGTGATGCTTTTGTACTGTGTTTGACATTGACTCTTCAGAATGAGAGTAAAAATGTACTGCTTTATGGATACCGGTAGGCTATCCTGGTTAACTGGTTCCTGCTATGTTAGATATCATTCTGTTAGTCATTCAACCATCACTTAGTGAATATCTGCACGAGTATAGGCATTGTTCTAGATGCTGGGGATTACATCCCTGAATAAAAGTAACAGAAGTTCCTCACTGAGGCTGAAGTCTAATGAGAAGGCCGGGATAAGGAGAGAGACAGTAAACAAGATGAATGTGTGAAGTGGTGAGTTAGACCTAAGAAAAGCAGGGACAAGAGTTAGGAATCAGAGTGGCACAGCAGGATGGGTGAGCAGGAAGTGCTAAAGAAGAGGGGATCTGTATACGGTTTTCAATAAGGTACTGAAGGAGGGCTTCACCGACAGGGTGACATTTGGACAGAAATGTCATCGTTCCTGGATACATTAGTTTATCTATATGAAATTGCCTTTCTCTTGGATTAAATATTGGCACCTTCTTCTAGTGCACTCTGTTAGTAAAGAGGCAAATATTTAATCCATATGTGCTTAGGAACGTGCCGTTGTATCTTTTGACAAAGTGAAAACTTTCCATATTGGGAAAATGGGGCTGGGGATATAGCTCAGTGGTAGAGTGCCTGCCTGGCAAGTAGGAAGTCATGAGTTCAATTCCTGGTACCAAAAAAAAAAAAAAAATTGAGAAAACATAATCTGTGTAAGGATAACTATCCAAGGCCACTGTGTACAGTTTTGACACCTAATGGTCATGGTCAGCTATGACACATTTGATGACATCTTCACAATAGCTTATGGGCCGGGACTTGATATGTGGGGAGGGACTTAGCACACAGCACGTTGGTAAGGTTTCCCTTGTGGAACTTTAAAAAGAAAGGTGTATATTACTTTAATTTTAATTAAATTTAATTTCTTTACATTTAGAACCTTTCAAATTAAAAATTTATCTTTCTAGTCCCGGCTTAGTTCACTTGATAAAATTAATACTGAGAGTATATTATATATTTCAAAATTGCTCAAAAAATTTTTTAAATGTTCTCAATATAAAAGTAAACAGGGAGATGCTCGATATGTTAAATAGCTTGATTTACTAATTTCACAATGTACACATGAATATACACATATATAAATATATATGTCTCATTACTATTGTCAGTTAAAATTATTTGTCAGTTAAAATTGTTTTGAAACTTCTACTCCTCACTTTAATTTCTACATTTCATAGTATTTCTCTAAAATTTATCTGAAAACCTCAGCATATTAGAAATAATTAGGAGTAAGCATTAGGGAAACATAACTGGAAACACATTACATTTGTGTCATTTTTTGAATAATCTGTACCTGCTACCATTTGCAATTCAGTTTATTCTCCCGGAGTTAATTAATGATGCTTAGCCAACAAAATCCACTTGTTGGGTGGGCTTTGGTAATTGCTGGAGGCTTTGCTACTAAAGTTTACCTAAGGTAATTTACCTAATTAGCTTTCCTTGCTGGCTCCATCTGTTCTGCTTTGTAAAATAACTCAACTTATGTCAACAGAGTGGATGATGCCGCACCTTCTTTTTAAACATGCATTGCTCTTACTCCTTGCCTGGGAGGTCGGAGGTCGTGGTCTCAGAATACTCGGCTAGCATTTTACTTCTGAGTAGCGGTTGAGTCTTTAACCCCGGACTCCCAGTGAGGATCAGATTACGGAGGCCATGAGGCTGGCAGCGCTGTACACCTGGGCCTTCCTCGGCGCTTTAGCACAGTGCCTGTGCTCCGCACTCGTTCAGGAGCAGTTGGCCCTGGTGAGGCCAGAGTGAGGTAACTCTGAGTGTGACTCCCACATCAGCCTTTTCTTTCCAGGCATCTCGTGATGCTTAATTAGAATTAAAGTGAATTTTGCTCCTACTGCCAAATCCCAGAATGTTAGTCTCAGCCAGTTTAGTTGCTTCCATACTCTCTTCCTCTGTAATGATATTTAAAGACTTTTTTCTTCCTCATGAAGGATTTTCGGATCTAGTTCCAGCTAGTGAAGGGATCCAACCAAGCCCTGCTCCTTTTAGCCTTGCTAACTTATGGGTTTGGTCTGAGTCTTAACTTCCTTGTCAGTCATGGGTTGTTTAATGTGGGAAAAGGTTTTGACAATAGTAATGACTCATAGTAATCTTTTTATTTGTATAGACCAGATAAGTGTTGAATGTTTGGGTCATTCCTGTTTCATTAAAGTGAGGGGAATTGTCTACTCTTCCGGTGATCAAGTAGGGCCATTCCAAGCAGCACCTTCACCACTGTTGTTTTATATTAAAAATTAATTATGAAGACTTTAGGGCTTTATCCATATTAGTTTTGTATATTCTGAAAAGCCCTACCACAGCTATTCGACACAGTAGTGGTAAGTTAGTAAACCAAGTGAGTTCTTTTTAAAATCCCACTTCTCAGATACTTTCATGTCTGTATTCATACAAGGTATGTTTCTGTCACCTACAAAAACTACATTTTTGTGGGGACAGGGTTTCACTGTGCAGTTCAGGCTAGCCTGAAGTTACTTTGTAGCCCTGGCTGTCCTTGAACTCCAAGGGATCCCCCTGCCTCAGCCTCCTGAGTGCTGGGATTGCAGGCGTGCACCACCACACCCGACTTCATACCAGAAATACTTAAAGCGGGTTTTATGTTGTGTCTGTTTAATTATTCTTTTGCTTTAAAAATGTTTAATGTTTTTTCTCAAGCTTCTGCAAAGATTGCTGGATGACCGCAAATCTACTGTGGAGGTAATCAAACGAGAAGGAGAAAAAATCGCTGCAACAGCAGAAACTGCGGATAAAGTGAAGATCTTGAAGCAGCTGAGTCTCCTGGATAGTAGATGGGAGACGTTGCTCGATAAAGTAGAGACAAGGTAGCTTAATTACTTGCAGTGCTTTTGAAAGAGTAACAGGGACCCTACAACTGTGTATTTGAGTAATGCTTTTCTTTAAACCACTATTCTCTGATGATCATGGCTGTGAGTATAGGTGGTGGGATCTCTCCTCAGTCTTCTAATGGTCATGTCTTACAGTATCATCACATCCCAGTGCTTTGGATTAAGAAAGCATCTTCCTCGGAGTGAGGAGGGGAATTGTTTGTTTATGGCATAGTTACTGCCCTGCGCATCTTGCATCAAGCATAAAGCTAGGCCTTAGTTTACACGGGTGAGCTGGACAGGTTGCCTTTGTCCTCACTAAGGTGTAGCTTAATAAGATTTACAGCCATTGGAAAAAATGTGACATTTTGAAGAGTACTGGGGAGTGTGTGATGGGAGGAACCTGGGCTGGGGCAGGGACGTGACAGCTAAGCTGTGTGTTAAGGGAAGAGTTGGAATTGGCTAGAATAAGAGGCGGATCGAAAACGCACACTCATGAAAGTCTTGAAGCCTAGAGCCCGGCTCTGCTGGGCTTTTGCTGGCGTTTGTCTTATGATAGAATACCAACCAATATTTCATTTCTGCACTGACAAGAAGTTGACTGTTGTGTGTACAGCCACAGGGAAGTACAGTCACCTAGATTAGTTGGGTTGAAGGCGGGTGAACCACTCAACAGCGTGGTGGTGCTCCATGAATTCCTGCCTTCTGTGAAACTAGAAATTAACAGAGCTGTTGGCTAATCTTGGATTACTGAATAGAATTGTGGTTTTAGGACTACAGAATGAGGTACTCCTAAAGAGGCGAAAGTCTTGTCCTTTAGTAGATTAACCTTGTGTGTCATATCCTACGACGTTGTGGCCTAGAAGGTATTGGAAGATAGTCTCAGTATTTTTTTGTTTAAGCTAAATGAGTAAATGTCTGTGTCTCAGCTCTACTCCTAGAACTGGTTTTCTTTTTTTTTTTTTGGTTTTTGGTTTTTGGTTTTTCTCCGGTACCGGGAACCGAACTCACGACCTTGCACTTGCCAGGCAGGCACTTTGCCGATGAGCTAAATCCCCAGCCCCTAGAACTGGTTTTCTTTTTCCAAAAACTTCTTCACAGTGGTATTCAGTGGGAGGGATTTAGTGATAATTATGATTCAGAAATGTATTGCTCATAATTTCAATAAATTAGATTTATTCAGTAAATTATTGTTCAGTAAATTAAACATAATTACAAGACAGTTTTTTCATTTTAATTTTTATTAGTACATGTTCACATAATGGCCACATTTGTGGTGTTGCCTTGGTACATACACATAACACACTGTAATTCTTTTGTCATCCCTCCCCCTTCCCTCCCCCTTCCCTGTCCATCTCTTGGTCCTTCCCTTTGCAGAAGACTTATTTTCCTGTTTCCTATTATGTGTCTTTTGTTTTGGTCTTTGATTTATTTCTGTATTGAGTTTCTCATGTAAAACAAACCACACTATTTAAGCTTGTGTGTCTCACTTATTTCACTTCACATTGTGGTCTCAAAGTGCATCCATTTATGTACAGATGCTGCACGTTTATCCTTTTTATGGCAGAATAGTACTCTATGATGTATAAATGCACCTTTTCTTTATCCATTCATTTGTTCATGGATGTATAGACCACTTCCAAGATCTAGCTGTTATGAATTGTGTTGCTGTGAACATGTGTGTGTACATATCCCTGTAATGTGATATCTTTAACTCTTGCAGGAATATACCTGGAAGGGGAATAGCTGGGTTAAATGGAATTTCTACCTGTAGTTTTTTGAGGAATCTCCATACTGATTTCCATAGTGGTTGTACTAGTTCATACTCCTACCAAAAATGTAGAAGGGTTCCTTTTTTCCTGCAGCCTCACCAACATTTGTTATAATTTGATTTCCTGATGATAGCCATTCTTTCTAGAATGAAATGGAATCTTATTTTTTTTAATTTGCATTTCTTTAATGGCCAATGATGTTGATTTTTTTTCAGGTATTTATTAGGTATTTGTACTTTGTAGACTTGTCTGTCCATTCCAGTTGCCCATTTTTAACTGGTCCTTTTATTTTGGTGCGTGATTTTTTTTGAGTTCTTTTTATATTCCAGGTATTAGTCCTCTGAAGAATATCAGGCAAATTTTTTTACCATTCTGTATTTGTCTCTTCAATGTCAGTTGTTTCTTGTGTGGTCCAGAAGCTTTTTACTTTGATATGATCCCATTATTGATTATTGATTTTTTTTTTTGTTTTACCTCCTGTGCAATTACGGTTCTGTTCAGAAGGTCCTTGCCTACGACTATTTTTTTTTTAAGTTTTGCCTATTTTATTTTCCAACAGATTAAGTGTTTCTCTTTCAGCAACTGAGATCTTTGATCCATTTTGATTTTAGCTTAGTACATGGTGAGAGATACATGTGTAGCTTCAGTCTTCCTGAATGTGGATAAACAGCTTTTCCCGGCACCATTTCTTCAAAGGACTACCTTTCTTCCAGCATGTTTTTGGCCCTTTTTTCAAAGACCAGGTAGCTGAATGTGCTGGGCTTGTTTCTGCATCCTATCTTCTGTTCTGTTGATCCTCATGTCTGTTTTTATGCCAGTAGCATGCTGTTTTTATCACTGTAGCTCTGTAATATAACTTGAAGTCCAGGATCATGATGCCTCTGTTTTTGTTACCCAGGATGGCTTTTGGTATTCTGGGTGTCTTCTGGTTCTGTGTAAACTTTAGTAGTATTTTCTGTAGTTCTCTGAGGACTGCTGTAGGGATTTTGATTGGGATTGCATTAAGTCTGTGTATCAGTTTTGGAAGTATAGCCATTTGAACAGGATCAGTTCTCCCATCCCAGAACCAGTAGGGGATAGGTTTCCATTTTATGATATCCTCTTCAATTTTTTTTGGAGTACTGTAGTACAAAATGGTTTTTTGCACTATTTGGATGATGGGATAATTGAATTTAGAAAAAATTTAGAGTGACAACCTAAAAATTCAACAGAATACTGTATAGTGATTTCATCCATTTTTTGACCAAATGTATTCCCTTTGAAAGTTTTAAAAAATGTGTACATACATAGTTTGTGATATTATGATCCAGAAATTATATTGTGTAGCTTGTGTCAGCTTTCCATAGTTACCTTTGTTTTCATAACCAGCTAGGTTTCTCAAATTATGAACTTCTCTAAGAATTTTACATGGTAAAAAGTTCAGACAATGACTCTGGATCCTGGTATAGTATTACTATGCTGATTGACAATATTATTTTAAAGGATTGCTTTAGACTTTCATTAGGTTCAGGAACTGCTGTTTAATGTTAATTTTAGATTAATGTTACTCTTAAATGTTTCTGTTTGATCTGTTGTTCAATGTTAATTTTATTTAATTGAACCGTTTCAGTATATCCTGTAAATGTTAGAGATTTAAGTTGTAACCTTAAATGATTTCTATGAAAAGTGTTTAGAATAGAGTAGTTAAGTATGACTAAAGACTTCGGTTGAATTTTTCACACATTCTTCATCCCCAAGTGACCTTTTCCTTGGCACATTTGTAGGAATCGTCAGTTGGAAGGTATCTCTGTTGTAGCGCAGCAATTTCATGAAACCTTGGAACCACTGAATGAGTGGCTCACCACCGTAGAAAAAAGGCTGGCGAGTTGTGATCCCATCGGAACTCAGGCGTCTAAACTTGAGGGACAGATTGCTCAGCACAAAGTAAGCTATAAATCACACATCAGTAGGACTCAGTTTTCCATTTGTTTCATGGTTTTGTGACATAAATTTGAGTTATGTACTACTGTTATGTTTTGTGTACTTGCAAAGTAAATTCATTTCAAATGTCATCCTTTTATGCCATTTATTTTTCATCTTTATTTGTCCATTCTTTTCTGTTTTTTTTTCTTTTTTTTAAACTCCGTGTAGGCCTTAGAAGATGACATCATCAGTCACAGTAAACATTTACACCAGGCTGTTAGCATTGGCCAGTCCTTAAAGGTTTTGAGCTCCAGGGAGGATAAAGATATGGTGCAGAATAAATTAAACCGCTCTCAAGTGTGGTACATTGAGATTCAAGAGAAAAGCCTCAGCAGGTCTGAGCTCCTCCGGCAGGCCCTGTGTAACACTAAGATTTTTGGGGAAGATGAAGTTGAGCTGATGACCTGGCTGAACGAAATGCATGACATACTGAGCAAGCTCTCAGTCCAGGACTGCAGCCCCGAGGGGCTCTGGAAGCAGCAGGCTGAACTGCGGGTATTTTGATTTCTTTCATTTCATTTCATTTTATTCATTTCAGTTGTCATTATGTTGTCAACATTTCTTATTTCCCTTTTGTTTTATGTCTGTTATGATTTGGGTGATTCGTTATATTCAAAAAGGCTTTGCTTGTTTATATAAGATACATTTAATGGGGGCTGGGGATTTAGCTCAGCGGCAAAAGCGCCTGCCTGGCAAGCGCAAGGTCGTGAGTTCGGTTCCCGGTACCGGAGAAAAAAAAAAAAAAAGATACATTTAATGAAGTCACTTCTAAATGAGATTGAATTTATCTAAATAGCTGGACCTTTCACTTTTCGTATTGTTATTTGATTGTTGCCTGCAAAACAGTAATTAACCAGTACTTAAGTGCCTCTACATAGTCCGTTCTCATCTTCCAAAAACCGGAGCACTGTGAATCATGGTAGATGAGCGTGGCGCTCGGGCACAAGGGTAAAAAGCCAAGGCAAACATGTGAGAAAACTGAAAGTTTGGAAATGTGAGCTGTTTTCTTAGATACGTCTCTGAAGCCTAGTTAATCTCTGAGATTTAATTTTTCTTCCTTACACATAAAAATGGTACTTGTGTTTTTAGGTTCTCCAAGAGGACATCTTGCTCAGGAAACAAAATGTAGATCAGGCATTACTCAATGGCTTAGAACTTCTTAAACACACCACAGGTGAGCTGTCTTTTTCATCAGAGGACTTTGCAGTCATCCTTCAGCATTGCTTTCAGAGTCCTTCAAGGATGGGGAGAAGACAAAACATTTTATAATTTTTGAGTCCATTCCAAGGCTTCGTTGTGGAAAATGTTTTGAAGACCAATCAAGAAAGGTTTAACAGTATGATCTCACTCTTTTCTCATGATCTCACTTGAGTTCCTGGTGGACACTGTGTGTATTACTCATAACCTGAAGCACTTTGGCACAGGATGTAGTCGGAGAAGCCCATGAGGGAGTTACGTTAGTTTTCCACTTGAGGAAGGCAGATGAACACAGAGGTTGTAGACAGTTTTTTTTAGGGTAGATTACATTGCAGTGACACATGTTATGGCAGTACACAGACTTCATTTCTCCATGCCTGAATCACTGAAAAAAAAGATTCTCGGTTTAATGCATGTATGAACTGTTTTTAGACTATTTCAGGGAAACTAGTTTTAATGATTCTTTTGGCCATAGGAAGGTGTCATTTATTGAACCTGTATTCAGTTTAGCACTGTGAGTGTATGGGGAGCAGTTACCATTCATCATGAGCTGGAGGAATGCAAGTAGAGCCTTAAAGTAGAAGCCTAAAGCCCAGGACTCCATTTCTGTGTGCCTCAAAAGGAGGTGGAGACAGGGAAGGAGCCACTAGAAAGGGCGGATGAGTAACGGTGAGCTACTTAGAGCACAGAGAAGTTAAGCATCTCCTCAGATAAGTAAGCTTTTAAGTAAGTCAGCTTGTAAGCCGTGAAGTCAGCTCAAGAAGCACAAAGCTGATGGAATACAGTGATTGCAAAGCCTGGCCTAAGAAATGTCTGCGACCTTAATCCAGGTATTTTTAACCCCTCTGCTTTGAAAACTGAATATATTAGAGGATAGATATAAAAGTGCTACTTTCTTCATAACCAAAGGCCTTTCCCAAAACTATAGCCTTTCTTGGTTTTTACATTTGTATTTTAGAATTGATTAAATTTGTCAGAAATCCTTGGAATGATGAAAACCTAGCAAGGCTTCTCTTGGGTCAAGTCATCTTTGGAGAAATGTTTCCTTTTTTTCTCAAGAGAATTTCATCAGTGTACAGTAATACCTAAAGAACCCCCTCCCCATTTTTTTTCTTTTTATAAGAAATAACATTGTTGAAATTTTAGGTGATGAAGTTGTAATAATTCAAGATAAATTGGAAGCCATTAAAGCAAGGTACAGAGACATTACCAAACTGAGTACCGATGTCGCCACGACTCTGGAGCAGGTGCTGGAGCTCTCCAGGCGGCTGCACTCCACGCACCAGGAGCTGTGCACCTGGCTGGACAAAGTGGAGGTGGAATTACTCTCCTACGAGACTCAGGCTCTGAAGGGAGAAGCAGCAAACCAAGTCCACACAAGACAAAAAGTACGCCTGATTTATACACATTGTCTCCATTTGTTCTTTTACAGGGAGAGTAGTCCCCACAGGAACAAAACTGTATTGGCCTTGTGTCATTACTGATATGCTGAAGGGTGCCTTGATGGGCCCGACCCCAGCAGAAATTGGCAGCAGATCAGCAGTTTAAACTTCTAGGAACTTAGAAACAAAAAGTTTATTATTTGTTTCGAGAGTCTCACGGTTGGGAGTATACGCTACCACACAAAAGACTGAACGGTGAAAACAGGGAAAAGTGGAAAAGTATCACTGTTTCAGAAACGTGGTTTGGTTGGAGTAACAGCATCTCTTTCAGAGAGATGTGCGGCACAGCGTGGGTGTTCTGATTGTAGCGCAAAAGTGGAATGCTGCCTTGGTGATGGCGCTTCAGATACCGCAGCCTTGGCAGTGATCGCTTGAGGCTGAAAGGGAGCTGTGAGCTTAGGCCCCCCAAGCCTGCGAGGTTGCAGCAAGAGTAGTGCAGTACTAGTTCATGTCCTCATTTTGAAGGTCATTTAATTCTGCCTTGTAATACCCTTGTCATTTTATTTTATTTTTTTTTTTCTGTTACCTGATTATATAAAGGTTCCCAGAAGGCAAAGAATACATGATAACTTGCTTGGTTCTGCTTTCCACCTTTTAAATATTTATGTTACGTTTCAGAGCTAAAATCTTGCCACATAGATAGATGAATGAATTGTTCTGGAAAATTGTCCATCTTGAAAAATAGCTTTAAATAGTAAAAGCGTATTTAGCTCAGCTGAAACTGTAGGAGCCAAAGCCTGGCCTTACTGGCCAGCAAAGGACTGTGACCGCAAGAACATTTAAGGCATGTTACCCATACATTGGTGATTTCAGGAGCTGAAAAAGGAAGCTAAGAACAACAAAGCCTTACTGGATTCCCTTAATGAAGTGAGCAGTGCTTTGCTGGAACTGGTACCATGGAGGGCCAGAGAGGGCCTGGGGAAGATGGTGGCTGAGGACAATGAGCGCTACCGATCAGTGAGCGACACCATCACTCAGAAGGTGGAGGAGATGGACGCCGCCATTCTGCGGTCGCAGCAGGTAAGGACAAGTGGTTCGTGCTCTAGGCAGTAAATTTTCTCCAGCTGTTCCTGTTAGTAAAGTTTCCATTCATTTGTTGTACTTCAAAAGTGAAAGGGTGGATTTGAATAGAATTTGACTGGGCTACATCTGAGAGTAGGGCAAGGCTAATCTGTACATTGTTAACTGCCACCTGCCCCACTGTTTCCCAGGCTTAGCCTTACAAGTCGGATCTGGGAAGACTGGCCCTGCTTGCCTTACAAAATGCTTCTGTCTGCATATATGCATATTGCTAATATTACTGTTAGGCTTTGAATGCCCCTAAATCTTTCTGTAAATATTTTGACTTAGTATGTAAGTCACTACATACAGCTATTGCAAAGAAAAATACTCGTTTTTAAAAGCAAACAGTTTTGTTGGTGACGTGAAATTTTTTCCAAAGGTGACTGAAGGGGAAAATATTACAGTTTCTGACCTGCCTGCGGCTCCACCAGCGTGTGCTCTAGGCTTCAGAGATGCCCGGCACTCAGCTGCAGGCCCACAGTGGGCCGTGGTGGCGGTGAGGGAGGGCATCCTGGAAATAAACGTTTGATTAACTTCTTGTGGCAGGCCCTGCGACTGTTCACCTCAAGTCATCAGGCTCTGATTCAGAACGTTGTGGGCGGAGGTTAGAAGGCACAGCAGAGTATTTTGGAGCACAGTTTAGAAGATATGTGACTAAGCTTTTACTACAGCGAGCCAAAAGCAAGACACAAATCAAACAGATTCTGTGGGAGCATCCAAAATTAATTTTTAACGTTGCCATAAAAGTGTAATGTATATGGTTCTGAAGCATAATGCTCTACTCCTCATTTTAGTACTGTGCTCAAGAAGCACAAAGCTGATGGAATACAGTGATTGCAAAGCCTGGCCTAAGAAATGTCTGCGCGGGAGGGCGCTCACGCCTGAGGAATGTGTTTGCCTGACAGTTTTTAAAGTTTGGAGGAATCTGTATGCCTCATTATTATAGCAGAATAAGTGTGTTCATTTGTGAAATCTATTGGACTATTTAAAAACGTTGAATTTTTTTCACTGAAATTTATTTGAACATTTCAGAATTGGCACTTAATACTGCTCTAAATAGTAAGACAAATATTTTGCACTCTTGGGAATAAGACTTTCCTGAGAAGTTGATTATGTTAGCTCAGTGAAGTGGGACAGGACTAAGGGTAGGGTCTCAGCTTGAGTTCGTATTGATGAGTACACTCTGTATCTGCCAAGGTCATTACCTGTAGCAGAGTTCTATTCAAGGTTTTGCAGATGTTTTCTGGAGCTAAAAAAAAAAAAAAAAGTTAAAGCAGGTCAGGGTAGGTGTTGTAGAAACTTAAATATAAGTAAGTCCCCAACTTATGAAAGAGTTCCTTTCCAGGAGAACATTCGTAAGTCAGATTCAGTCATATCCAACAAAGCGAGTCTTATTCGGTGCACTTGTGAAATTTCACAACTCAGTGTTCATAAGTTAAGGACTTACTGTATATCCTTTAGGAAAATTGTGTGTGTGTGTGTGTGTGTGTGTGTGTGTTTTACTGCTGAAATGGTTCCTTATAGAAAATACTGAGAATTTTCCTAAAGAATACAGAAAAATGCACCAAAAATATATAAACACTGTGGGCTATAATCAGTGGTGGCAAACCCATGGCATGCTGTCAGGAGCTGTTTGTGATCATTGAAAGCTCTAAAAAGTTTGCCATCACTGGGCTGTGTCCTTCTTGCTTTCTCTTTGAGAGAGAGAGAGAGGTTGATTCTGCCAGTAGGTCATAGAGCTAGTATGAATGCCAGTACTATCTTCTGGTTGTTCGTGTGGTATTTATGCCTGCATTTCTTTGGAGTACCTTTGAGGCTACAAAGTGAACACCTCCAGTAGGGCTGAGAGGACACACAAGTATTTAGAGCAAGAGAACACGTATGGAGCAACTTGTCTGTGGTCCTACAGCTAGGAAGTAGCAGGGCTACAACTAGAATTTAACCTTGATCTCTCACCTACCTCACTGTGGTGCTTCTTTATACTTAATATTGAAAGGAAAAATCCTGAGGAGTGATATACTTTCTCTAAATTTCTTCAGTAAAATGAAGAAAGTACCTTACTGACGCCAAATGAAAGGTCTGTAATGAAAATATTTCAAACTGTCAGGACTACGAAACATGAGAATACAGAATGAAAAGAAGCATGAGACATCACTCCGTTAGATTCAATAACAACGTAGGCACTCGTCTTTCTGATTTAGCAGAGATTTAGTTTTGCACTTGAGAAGCTTAAACTCTTAGGAAATAAGCCTCAAAACTCATGATTTTCATGTTTGTAAAATAGCTAATATGTCACTGATATTACTTTGTAAGCTTGTACAAAGTAATAGGTGTTCAGAATTAAGACCAGAATACAGTGTGATAGTAAAGTGTTTGTTTTCAAAATATGAAAGTGATGAGGTGAGGAGGTTATATGCTTTGAACACTCATTGGTTATTTTAAAATTTATAGATTTAATGTTCTTTCCTTGAATGACCTGGCAGAATTAAACTAGATTTTACATGATTAAATGTTCTAGTCTTCAAACAAATATCTCTGAGGATATTTCATATTTTGTCTAGTGTTAAGGTTGTTTATATGTAGTTTACTTCCTTTATAATGTTATAACTTTTTGGAGTTCAAAAATTGCACTATTGTAAACTGTTAAGCCACTACCACAGAGTGGATTGACTTGCAAACATCAACATGGAAGATGCCAAAAAAAAAAAAAAAAAAAAACCCCACAGCGAAAAGGATTAGAGCGAGAAGGAAAAGACTCATACAGATATACTTCTAACTTACCTGTGTTCTATTTAAGTTCTGATTTGATATGTTAGATTTGTGTGCTAATCTTATATCGCAAATAACAATTTGGAAAAGACATGCCATTGGGGTAGGGGTTTAGCTCAGTGGCACAGCGCCTGCCTGGCAAGCGTAAGGTTGTGAGTTCGATTCCAGGTACCAGAAAAGAAAAAGCAAAAATCAAAATCGAAAAGACTTGCCACTGAATTTTGATTCACGGGGGCAAAGATACTATGTAAATTTGAGCAGTGTTTGTTAATGGTTGGGAAAATAGTTGAACAGCCTCAGTTATGAGCAAATATGAGGACTGTATGTGCTCAGTGTTACTAGTCAATAAATTCCCTCAAACCTGATTCTGCAGATTTCCAGACAGTGGTATTTGAAGAAGATATTCTTGTTTGAAATAATTGGACCTATTCCTTACTTTTAAGACAGAATTTGAGTGGACCAGCATAGCTTAGGATATGGGGATGTTGAGCTAGACAGACTGCCTCCCTCTCCACCAGGCCATTGGCTGAGTGAGAAACTACATGCTTTTGCATTGAGCAGTATATCTCTGTTGCTTCCTTCTCTAAGTGCAAATTTAAGTAAAGGAGCCCTGTAGAAACAGGGAAAGGTACTCTGGCTTAACAGATGCCCGGTCTTGTATCCTAAGCCCAGACGATGGTGGTAGTTCAAACTTAGTGCAGTTCAGTCCTTTGCTCTTGTAAATGTGCTTCCTCCAGAAGGTGCTCAGTTACTCTGTCTCAGTTGACATGAGAATCCCCAGGGGAAGGGGCTGGGGATTTAGCTCAGTGGCAAAAGCGCCTGCCTGGCAAGCGTGAGGTTGTGAGTTCGGTTCCCAGTACCGGAGAAAAACCAAAAAAAAAAGAGAACTCCTGGGGCTCCACCTGTACCCAGTTTCTTGGCTTACGTAAGTGGGTTCCATAGAAACCTTCACATAAAGGCCCAGAGTTGGTCCTTCAGGGGGAGTGAGTGGACAGATCCCTGGGTCATCAGGAATCAGCCTTAGAGAAAAATACTGCCTATTGCTTTTAAAGACCCAGAAGAAAACATCCCCACAGAACTGGGTTTGTTATTGTGTAGCCACCTAATGTTATGAAAAATGAGTCACAGAGAGGAAAGAAATGCTAATGAACAGAAAGTGATGAGGTCCCCAGCCCAAGAAGGGAGTTAAGAGTGTATTCTTGAGTTAAGGTTTGCTGATCACTCTTGTCTTAAAAAACATCTGTTTCCACTCAGGAAAACTTTCTGGACAAGTATGGTTTGTCAGAGGTTAGAGAAATATTTTATTATGGTAAAACCTAGTACTTATTGATTGTTATGAAACTTGAGCCATTTTTGGTGAAATCACACAAATACTTTGAATTCCTGGAGCTCAAGGCATCCCCAATCACAGGGAGCAAGGGTGCAGCCCCTGAGGCCAGGCCCTGGGCGGCAAGTCCTGCAGGCTGATGGCTGATCTTTGGCAAAGCAGTGAGCTCTTCTCTAACTCAGGTTTCCTGGCTATCAGTGGAATTAATGATGATACCAGCCAACGTTATATATCTGTTGTCTGGAGCAAGGGAGAGACTGAATGTGTTCAGGAGGGTGCTGATCTGTTTTTGTTTGAGTAGTTTTCAGGAATATTTAGCCTCTTAGGGAAGCTTGCTTTAACTTCTATAGAATTTCTGAAATGCTAATTCAACTGCAGTAGCTATTACAGTGGCTAAGGGGCCATGGTTAGGCTGTAGTCCTGCTGCCTGTTAAAACAGTTCCCAAAATGGAGTTATGGGTGCCAAGATCACTGACAGTGTATGTGAAGTCAGCCTTTGCTACTTGTATAAGCACCCAGAGTCGCTGACATTTGGTCTAGTAGTTCTCTGCATGTCACTCACACGCAGGCGCAGGCTGGTTTTCCGTCCATTAGAAACACGCGTGTCAGCCCACCGTTTGAATGAGTCATGGCTCTATGGCTATTCTACTGGTTGTATAACAATAAATATTTACTAATTTAATTTTTATGATTTCTCAGAAGGCTGAACTGAAATTTTGGCCTGAAGTCTTACTTTCTTTTAGCCGAGCAAATATTTGATTTGATTAAAGAAGCAGTGTTTGAGTTTCAGCTTTGCACTTGGCAACCTAGATGGTATCATCATATTGCTTTTCATTGGGTATTCTCTTTTTGTTTTCCTGTACTGGGGGAGAGACATCATGTTAAACTAATGTGAACACTTAAAAGCGCAGGTTTCTCTGTCAGGACTGCCATATGTACGTCATGTTTTTAGCAGCTTAAGTACAAACAAAAGAGGAGTGATGAGTCACTTTACTTTTCCCAGGATCAGTAGAACACCTAATTCATGGCTGTTAAATTTTATTTAGAAATCTTTTAGGATTTATACTTAGGTAGAAAAACTTAGACTGTTTTTGTCACTCTTAGACTCTTTTAGGTAAATCACAGAGTCAGGTTCTACCCACCGCTGTCATATATGCCTTAAAAACCCATAATCCACACTAGGCAGACTTGCCTTTCTTTGTGGGGCTTCTGGCTCTACATCTGAGACTGCTGAATTAGTCTGTAAAATGTTTTTCTTTTGTTTGCCTATTGATCAGTAATTACTAATGAGTAGTTCCATTTGAAATAAAATAACATCATAAAAATTACTGAAATAGATTAAGATAACACTTTTCAGAATGTTTTTTGTTTTCTTATAATTACAGAAAGTCTACTTAGGTTCTTGACAAACATTAAAAAATAGATTAGACCCCACGTTGATGAGCATACAGCAAAGCCCTGCTTGTAGGTGTGCAGATCAGTGCCTCCTAGCCCAGCGTAAGAGAACCTGCATGTCAGAGATGACCCACAAAGCTGCTTTTCTTTTTCTTTTTTAAAACGGGCTTGTTTTAAGAGTACTGAGATTCACAAAGGGTTATAAGAAATAACACAGAAAGATCCCAGTATCCTCATTTTACCCACTGGTAACATTTTGCACAATTGCAGTGCAGTCTTATGGGCAAGATGCTGACAGTGATGCAGTCAAGATACAGAACACTTCCATCCCGCAAAACCCCTGTGCTGCCCTTTCTTAGCTGCACCCAATCCGTCCCAACTCCACACCCTCGGAGCTCCTGGTAGCCATTGGTCTTTTGTCCATTTCTGTAAGTTAAAAAGAATTTTTTTTCTGGTGCCGGGAATCGAAGTCAACAACCTTGTGCTTGCCAGGCAGGTACTGTGCCACTGAGCTATAGCCCTGGCCCGGTTCTCCATTTCTGTAGTGTCATCATTTCAAGAATGTTGGAGAACTTTTTCAGCTGCTACTGCTTCTTTCTCTCCTTCTGAGACTCAAAGTAATTATTAATTGGTTTCTTTAGTTTGTCTTCTGCTATTCAGTTTTGGGTGATTTCTAATATTCTGTCTTCTACTTCACTGATCTTTCCTGTGTCCCTTATGTCCATTTTTATTTCAGTTCTGAAATTTCCATTAGGGATTTTCAGGGGCTGAGCCTTCTGAGTTTTCATTTGTTTCAACCATGGATATTCAAAAATGCTCATTGAAGCATTAATGTCATCGTAGCTACCTTAAAATCTTTGTCAGGCAATTCTGACATCTCTGCCGTATACGTATTGGCACCTATTTGATGAATTTCTTTAGGTCAGGTTGAGGTCTTCCTGCTTCCTGTAAGATGCTGGGCTTCTTGGGTGTTAGCATTTCCATTGGGATTGCTTCCTCTGATTCCACCCTGGTGGAAGAAGCTGAGCATGCCTCCGGGTGAGGAGAGAAGTCCCACTTCGGCACCCAGCCTCTCAGCTCCTAAGTGAGGATGGCTGTGATTGCTGCTGAGCCAGCTCCTCTCGTGATCTCCACTGATACCACAGCCACAGCGAGAGTGGCCGCAGAGGTGAGAGACTGAGCCTTGGTGCAGGTCCTGACTCCACAAGGCTCCCTTTGACATCGCTTCAAAAAAAGAAGAAAAAGGGATAACTCAGCACTGCTTGTTGGGGTGGATGTCCAGGCTGTACTCATGGTCTCCACAGCCAGGGATGTGGGCTTCGTTGTCAGCCAGTGAAGATGAACGTTCTGGCTCCCAGGATGCCCTTAATGTCAGCTTGCAAGGATGTTGGGAACCTCACTGTGGCCTCACAGAGAAGCACATTGAGACCCCTCATTCAGCCTTCTTGGCATGAGTATGAGTGGGCTCACAGGTTTTGTGGTGTTGGTTGGGTAGAGAGGTTATTACCTAAGTCTTCTGGCTATGCTGCCCCTTTCATATCCTTTTGCTAGAGGCCAGGGTTGTCTTGGCCCTTTGCCTGGACCTGCTGGTGTGACGGGGTTGCCACTTCGCCAGTATTCAGTCTTGATTAGGTGAGGTACAGGGGAAACCCAGAGAACCCAGCAGTGTACCCAGTTCCTCAGGGTCCAAGGCTACTGCAGACCTGCCTCATGTCTCCCCTTTGCAGAGTCTCCCTGCATATGTTTTGTGTGTAATGCTGAGGTTTTAGGTGTAGTTGTGAGGAACTGAAAAAAGTTCATCTAGTCTATTTTCCCATGAGGGTATGTTATAGTGTTCTGTAGAAATTACTTTCTAATCTAGTTTCTTATCTCTCTCCTCTTCCCTCACCTAGTTGATTCCTCCACCCTCATTTTAGATTTCCACCCTTTCTTGGAAAATTAGAAGTACTGGACTTGAGTAGTTATAATGTGCATTCCCCAGTAATTTTTTCATTGTAGTTACCATTTATCATCAGTGCTTCTTTGTCACTTGCCCACTCTATTCATCAAGGACAGCTGCTTGGCCCAGAAAGGCATTGTAGTTTGTTGGATACAAGGCACTGAAAATGTTGAAAAGAATTGAAATCCTCTTTGACTCGATAGTCACTTCTAGGACTCTATACACTAAAACTAATTAGAGATGCCAAATGGTTTATATATAAGGCTGTTCTACAGATTTATTTGTATCCTAGCTAAAAAATACAGAGAGCTTAATGAAAATATCCAGGTATGGTAGATTACGGTGGAGCTATTTAAAAATCACATGTAAAAGTATTATATGGGAAATGTTCACAATAAACTAAAAAGCAGGATATTAAATAATAGACAGTATTATCCCAGATCTTTACAAGTCTCTCATAACTTTAGGAAGAAAATTCTCTAAAATACTAGCAATATTAACTCCAGGTTTTCATTTTTTATGTATTTTTTGTGTCTTGTGAATTTCTGCTATGTTCATGAATTACTAGTGGGATCAAGAAAATAATATCTCTTAAATATTTTTAAGAATGCTCTTGAAAATGTTTTCTGCCATTATTGAGATGTTTGAAAATTATATATGAATAATTTTGGTATATACTCTGCATATATAAAGATATGTATCTATGCATACATTTATACACACATACATAATGTAATAGTACATCAGTATATCTCATTCTTTTTTCTAATAATCATGTGCTGTGATAGCGGAATACTACCTGTATGCCATGAGTTGTGGTGCTAGATGGCAGACATGGATAAAAGTATCTAGCTGTCTTGTATAGCTTTACATTAGGCTTGCATTCTTAAGGAGCAAATCAACACAGAAGAAGGCAGTGGGACCAACCAACCTAAAATAATCACTATAGTGTTAATGCATTCACCAGGTTTTAAGAGCTTGTGTTAATTGCTCTGTGGAAGTCAACTTTGTGAATTATTTCAGGATACCATGAAGAGATAAGCTCAGTTTCCACTTGTAGAATGAGAAATTTTTAAAACTTAGGTATTTTTCTGGCACCAGTTACAGGAACTTGCTGACTTAATTTATTTATCTTTTGTTTAGTTTGACCAAGCTGCTGATGCTGAGTTATCCTGGATTACTGAAACAGAAAAGAAATTGATGTCTCTGGGTGACATCAGGCTTGAGCAAGACCAGACTTCTGCTCAGCTGCAGGTTCAAAAGGTGAAGAAACACATTTCCAGTTGCCATTGAAATTATTTGCTGCTGTGCTCCAAGTTTAGAAAATAAGCTGGCAGGCATGATTTACTTTGTAAGATCCTGCCAGTGTAACTTGGTATTTTCAACTATTTTGCCTAATTGTTTTTATTGTAGTCATCTATTCTTTCTTTCCTTTTTTAAAATCTTTACTTGGGAAATTACAGACATTCACCATGGAGATTTTGAGACACAAGGATATTATTGATGAACTTGTTAAATCTGGGGATAAAATCATGGCCACATCCAGTGAAGAGGAAAAGCAGTCAATGAAGGTATAATCTTGACTATGTTATTGGTCGTGAGTCTCTTGAGTAGACAGCATGTGTTGAGCTTTAGGTCTTAGAAAAGCATTTTGTCTTTATCCGTAGCTGCTGTTTAAGCAGCAAAATCATTAGTTTTGAATAAGACACTTTTATAAGCTTAGAAAATAACAGCAAAAAGAATATTCCTTTAGGGAATCATCATGAGGACAATCTTTTTTAAAAGGCATAATAGCCGTTAAAATTTGAGTCCTTGGTTAACTGCTTTACATTATACATTCACTTACTATAAGCTGATATTAAGTATGCTCATGCATTATTATGTGTGTCAGCTGTGGTATATAGGCTGCAGGAACATTTGGGACCCAAGCTGAAGCAAAACCCAGAGTACCTGGTTCTCTCTAACGCTGAAATCCATTCTGTATAAAGTTGCAGTAAACAGTATAAGGGCAAAAGTGAGCCAAGGAATTAAAAAAGCATCCATTGTATGTAATGTTAATGATCTTGTAAAGTAGGGCTTCTGGTAGGAAAATTCTAAATAAATACAGAGTAAAAAATAATACACAGAGTCCACCAAAAATATATATACATCAGGAAAGGAAAAACATATAAATATATTAATACTAAATTTATCAAGACATCATGAGATTAATCCAAGTTACCTTTGGTCTCTACAATTACAAGAGGTGCTCACAGTGGTGGCTGTGAGCTTCCAGACATTGATTAGTATAGCAAACCACTCAAGTGTGTATACATTTTCTTGCAGACTCAGTAGATGCAAACGTCCATGCCTAAGATCGTATTTTTAAAGCATATACATTGTTATTAAAGTATATCATAGAATACTAGATCACACAATATAATGATACTCTCTTTTATTTACATCCCACAGTACTGATTTGTCTATAACTGAATGTTTATTATTTTTGCAAAGATTCAGACATGAAAATTGTAGATCATCATGAAGTGGTTTATTGAGTTACTATTGTGCCTTACCTTCTCCTGTTAGATTTTACTGTGACTGTACACCATTATCTAGATCCCTGTGACTGCCACATAAGATCAGTGTAGAGGATAATACTGTACCTTGCTTCTAATATATGTAGTCTTCTTGATTTGCAGTTCGTATAATTTTATTTCCAAATGATAGTTCTTTTTCCCCCAGAAAATCATGTAAGTGTTGGGAGGATCACAGGAAACTTGTTTTCCAACGTGAGAGCAGTGTAAGAATGGCTGGAGAATTCTGCTTGCTGTGTTTGGGGCGTTCATTATATTAGTCCTAAAAATGTGAGGCCCTTTCTTAATTTAAAATGAGGCTTTCTGCATAGAAACAATCCAGCTAGCTTTGGTTGATTTACTCACTTCACATACATTTGTTGACCGTCTGCTCGGCAGAGCAGAGTGGTGGACAGCACACCATGGGACATGTCTGCTAGCTGGCCTACCAACGAAACATGCTTCATCTTCTTATTTTCTAGAACAAACTGGACAAGGTATTGAAAAACTATGATGCCATCTGCCAGATAAACTCAGAGAGATATCTGCAGCTAGAGCGGGCCCAGTCCCTCATTAATCAGTTCTGGGAGACCTATGAAGAACTCTGGCCATGGCTGACCGAAACACAGCAAATCATCTCTCAGCTTCCTGCTCCAGCCCTGGAGTATGAAACTTTAAGACAGCAGCAGGAAGAACATCGGGTAAGCTCAGGGTGAGAGAGAATGTGACATTCCCCATAGAAAAGGAATCGTGGTTTTGATTAATGTTGTTAGTACTCTATTTAGTCTGCACAGCTTACTTACCTCAGCAACTGCATAGCTTGTTGCCTAGCATTCAGTGAGATGACCTGTGTGGGTAGAATGCATTGTATATTTCTTACTTGCCTCATAACTTATAGAACAAATGTATGCAATGTATGCCATCTGGGTAAAGAAGATCCTATTTGCAAATGTCAGAGGAATGTGATTTTTGAAGTGCTTTCAGTTCACACCTGTTGATTTGCTTTTGATTTATACATGGTGACTAAGTTTTATGCTTTCTTTGAAAGCTCTTGGGCTTGGAGAAAATACACAACTCGTGAATACTTCAATGTAGCAATATTGTGAAATCTATGAGAAGGGTGTATACTGAAGTATAGAGACAAATTGTGTCCCGTCTTTTTTGCGCCCTGTGTAGGCGGGACTCTGACAGTCCTGGTCCCGTTCAGTGTAGACGAGTGCACTAGAGTGTATGTTTACATCACAGTTACAACGTGTTTAAACATAAATAGCGTGGCATTCTGAAGCCTGCATTCTAGCAGTCACTTCATTGTTAATGTCGCTTAAAATTTTGCGAGGATTTGGTGAGTGTTCAAGACTGTTAGAAAAACTCTAGAGTCCTTGCTATTTATGGACTTACAAACCTAGTTCTCCCAGATCTGTACAAGATGTACTCTTGAGAGTTGTGCAAGGGGTGGTGCTGTCATGTGGGCTGGGTTTCACCATAGTTTGAGCCGTTGGGAATATGTGACATATCTATTAATCTTACTTGTTTGTTTTTTTCACGTATTGGTGTTGAAGAGTATCTGTCACTCAGTATTTACCTAGGAGGCAGTTTTAAAGAATACTTTCAGGAAGAATGAAAATTTTGTGGAGTACTCTCTAAATCATTCAGCAAAAAAGACACACTGTAGAACTAAATTTAATTTTTGTTTATTTGTGGAAGAAATCCTGATGTCTATTCACTGAATGATTTTCAATACAAAACGTATTGTGACTGTCTATGAGGTAATTTGAGTTTTTAACATAACATCACGTAGTAAGGAAAGGTTAAGTATAGAGTTGAAATTTTCCAAGTTGAGTTGATTTTCCTTCTTTGCATAATCTTTCAAAACAAATTTATGATTATATACTTAAAGAAACATAAGATTTGCAGCCAGCTCTTCAGATTGTGCAGGCTAAAAGTGTTCAGAATATTGGCAGCTCCCCAGAATGGCATGTCCTCCTCAGTTCCACATTGTCCTGTTTTAGGGGAGGCTCGTTCATACCGCCCAGGGACGAGAAATGGTTCTAAGGCCCGTTGCTGAGTTTCAGAGATCTTAACATCACACTGTGTCTCTCCAGCATGACTGACTCCAGGAAACATTTTATCACATGGCCGGCAAAGGCATCTCTTTTCAGACTTTTTTCCCCTGCAGACACATATACCTGAAGAAACACCCAGTCAGTGTCCCCTGGCCTGTCATGAACTGGTCTACACAAGGTCCATTGCACCCTTCCCTTCTGAGGTTGAATTGCCTTACGGTTGTGCTGCATGAAGGAGAGCTCTAGGCAGCTCAAGAAACCTGAGCATTTCACTTGAGAGACTAAGCATCCCTTACCGAACTTGTGCGGCGTCCCCCTCCATCTCTCCTTTTTCATGTGATTCTGTGGTAACTGATACTGCCATCACACCTCCATTTTGCAGACTAGCACAAAAGGATGATCTCTCAGCCGGGAACAGCCGGAAGCTGGATTGCAGGCATGGCCCTACCATGTTATTATGTGCAGCATCTTAGATTAGACATCTTACCCCCTTTTGAAATTGAATTTGTATTTATTCAGCCCCTTCCAAAAGTACTTTGAGGCAACCTTCAGAAAAAAATTTTAAATGGCAGTTTACTCTAGGAATAGATACTGATGTAGCAGTTTTCTCAGCAAGTTCTCCCAGTAATCTGTAAGATGGGTTTTAGTGGACACTCTGGGTAAGAACTAGTAGTGTTCCATCTCAGTAATTCTTCTTGATATATATTAAAAATTGAAGGAAAAAATCGGTAGCTTACCTCTAGACTGTCTTTCTTGTATATAATTTCTCTCAGAGAAACTCTTACTAGGGGCTAGGTAGCAAACAGCACAGAGATGCTGGTGAGGACAAGAAGCTGCTGATGAGGGAGCCAGATCCATAATGTGGCACAAAGGGAAGGTTCCTCAATAGCACCTAGGGCTGACCTCAGAAACTCTTAGGCAGAGACTTCCCTCAGTTTGGGATTTGACCCATGAGTAACTGCTTGGTGGTGGGCCCAGGACGCATGAAGTGGAGGTATGCTAAGCCGCATTCAGGCTCCTATCATTTCAAGAGGCTCCACTTGGGTTACCTCCATTTGTTAGCATAACTATCACTGTATCTCTTGATTAGATGACAAAATTATACAACATATTCGTGTGACACTTATTTAAATGTGTCTCACAAATATTTAATAAATAGCTATATATTTGATAGATTGATAACTCTTACAAACATTTTAAAGTAACAAAAGGTAGAGTCTTTTATATGCATCTGCAATGTCCATATGTCATAAATATATATAGAATGTTTTAGTATACATATACATGGCATGATCAAGAAATACGGTGAATGTTCAAATTAAAAATTTTTATGTATAGTAAAAGATACATTGCCATTAACCCGTCTCAAAATACCACCCCCACTTCAAACATACTTATGGTGTCATTTTTGCCGCTTGTGTCAGTTCTGGAAGTTGTCTTCTGTAAATGACTTTAGTTATTCTTCTGTAGCTACCTTTTTATCCTGAATCAGTTCAAACCATTTACCTTGCATGGTCATTTTGACCTTGGAGAAGAGCCAGAAGTCACCAAGTGTCAGATGCAGTGGACACGGTGGAAGAGGACACACTGTGATATTTTCACAGTTTGCCCTTGCTTTGGGTGGCCCTTGGCATTGGCATTCACTGTATTTTTTTATCATACCTCATAAAGACACTCACAAAAGAGGACTCCAGAACTGCTTCAGAAAGTGACGAGGAGATGGGATGAGTGCGTTTAAAGTGGGGGATACTTTGAGGAGAGTGTATTAGTCAGCTTTCCTGTCACTGGAACAAAATAACCAATATTCTAAAAGAGGCTTGTTCTGGCTCACAGTTTCAGTGTGTTCAGTCTGTGCTTGGCAGACTCCAAGGCAGCAGAGGCCTGGGGAGAGTTCACTGTGGAGGAAAGCCGCTCACACCATGGGGGCCTAGAATCAGGGAGGGGAGGGAGGAGCCAGGGCCAAGAACACACCCGCCCTGCTCACACCCTCAGCGATGAGGCCTTCCGCATAGGCCTCAGCTCCTAATAGTCCGTTCAGCTGTGGTCTCATCAGTCAAGGTTGAGTATAATGCTCCCATCATTCCAGTCACCTTCCAAACATAGGAGACTTTGAGTGACATTTTACTTAAACATTTACATTGTATTTTGGTCACACCTGAGTCTCCAGGTTATATCCGCATCTCCATCTGATAATGGTTTGCCTATATAAGTGCAATGACATGTGGGCGTACATCACCCTTGTCTCCTTTCCAGTTCTTTTTGTCAGCTTTGTGTCCGCATCCTACTGAGCTTTCCTTTACCCTTTCTCCTTTCTCTCCCCTTCCCTCCCACTCTCCCTTTTATGCTTTTGTAAATAACATAAATGTGCAGAAAGGAATCCTGAGAGTGATGGTTTATTCTCTGTGAGGATGTAGGAGTTAAGAATGCTTTTATGTAAAATGACCCTCGGCTAATTTTCTTGTCAGAATGTGCTGCTGTGGGTATGAAATGCGTAATGAACTGAGAGTCACTGTTTCATTCCACCGGCACTTTTGTGTGCCCCTGAGAAGGGGCTTTGGTGTGACTAGACTGCTTAGCCCTTGTGTTAGAGCCATCTCATCCGGCAGAGAGCTGTACACACGGTCACATGCTAAGTGCCTTGCAGTGGGGAGGGCATTTGTTTGGAGTTTCTTGACAAATGGAGGCATTGGGGATGTAGACAGCTGTAATGTGGAGGTGTAACCCTGAGATACTGAGAAACTGTTTGGTTTGTTATAGCAACTGCGAGAGTTGATTGCTGAACACAAGCCACACATAGATAAGATGAACAAGACTGGGCCACAGTTACTGGAATTGAGCCCAGGGGAAGGCTTTTCCATTCAAGAGAAGTATGTGGCAGCTGACACGCTTTATAGTCAAATTAAAGAAGATGTCAAAAAGCGTGCTGTGGCACTGGATGAAGCCATGGCTCAGTCAACTCAGGTAATGATTTACACTCGACACAGAATTTTGTTCTTCTGCACAGTACAGCTCGAGGAGACATTTTCATGGATTTCCTGATTAAATTTCAGCCAAAATGACTTCAGTCACTCAGATTATTCACACTTGGTCTCTCAGAGGTGATGTTTGCTTACATCCAGCCTTTTATAGTTTTACCTACTTCAAGAGATAATAAATAATTTAAGTGACTAAGAAACATATAGTTTATGTCATTGTACAGATATGTAATTCAGTGCTCGTCCTGATGGAAAGCAATGTTGCCCTTGGGGATAGAGAGTATCCCTGTCATCACTAATAAAGAAACTAGTAAGAGGGAACATTAAATGATCAGCCATATAAAAAGGTTAAGAATATAAAGTTGCAGGTGGATTTTTTTCTTTCAAAATATCTTTTTGCAAGAAGTTATAATTTGAAGTTACCTGTAGGCCTTGCATTTTCAAGGTTTCATTTTTATCAATAGATGCAAGACATTAGAGTCTCCATTTTCTGTAATGCTGAGTGATGGTTCCCTTGATTTTGAGGCTAGTGTAGAAATTATGGTTTTGTTTTGTTTTTTTTTCCCGATACTGGGAATCAAACTCACGACCTTGCGCTTGCCAGGCAGGCACTGTGCCGCTGAGCTAAATCCCCAGCCCTAGTGTAGAAATTATGAACTAATCAGTTTTTTATAACTTTGCTTAACTGTCTACCATACTTTTACCAATAAACATTTGGAACTATCTCATGTATATGGTATATGTTTGATTATTAACTAAATGCAAACTTTCTGGGAAAGGCGCTGGATATTGAACCCCATGTCTCAGCATGGGCTGTGCCACTGAGCTACTTCCCCAGCCCCAAACACAAACTTTAGATACAACGTTGAGGAAAGTTTTGTTTTGTTAAATTTTTAAACTTTTTTTTAGTTCCCAAAATACATAACTTAAGCGAACCCGTAAATCTGGTGAAAACTGTTCATGAGTTTCACCGTTAATAATGTAACTTCATAGGATGCCGAAATATCATGAAAAACAGAGAAAATAATCACTTCTTGCAGACAGAGACCTACTTATTGAACACAGTTTTTTAAAATTTATTTGAATTATGGTAAACAATAGACTAAAACAGATGCTGTGCCAAGTGGTCCACCTATATGTTAATGTATATCATTTACTAATGATGACATTTAATTGCATATAAGAAACTGTCATGTAAGTGGTATGCAGAAGGACATACAAGTTATAATTTTAGTAGAGTCTTCCTATGTTAGCTAGATCTACCTCTTGGATAGCTGTTTTGATAAAAGGACTGTGATCTTGTTCATGATTGAATAAATTAGATGATTTTCATTTAAATCTCACATGTAGTATTACAGATCTTTTCCCCATAAATGATCCCAATTGTTTTACCACTAGTTCCATGATAAGATTGACCAGATCCGTGAGAGCCTGGAGCGCGTGGTGGAGCGTCTGAGGCAGCCGCCATCCATCTCTGCTGAGGTTGAGAAGATCAAGGAGCAGATCAGTGAAAATAAGAACATATCAGTAGACATGGAAAAGCTACAGCCATTGTATGAAACTCTTAAACTGAGGGGAGAGGAAATGATTGCTAGATCTGGGGGTACTGATAAAGACATATCTGCCAAAGGTAATAGTTATGGAATAATGAAACAATTCAACTTTCACAACAACCCTAAATTTTATGCTGCTCCCTCACAATCCAATTGCATAATAAAGTGCCAAGTCTTGGAAAGGGTATTACAAATACAGTGTGTTTAGGGTTGAAGGGCCATGTGCACAGATCCCTTATTCATGTCTTCCCATGTTTGTGAAATTAATCAGTGGAATACAGTGTGTGCCATTGTGCCACAGCCATGGGTTCTGCAGGGATTTGAAACAAGCAGGGTAAAGCATGATGCTAATAAGGCCAACTAGGTTTTTTTAAAAATACTCATTTTTCCTCATTAGTGACTATACTGTATCACAAAGTAGGCCTGCCCTATCTCATAACCGCAGAGAGACACCCATGACATTAATCAGCTGTCTTAGAGCCATGCATTGGGCATCAGTAGGAAGAGCATGTGCACTGTGGAAATTCATGGTAAGATCCTGTAGCCATGAGCCTGAAATACATATCCTGCATTATTGTGTTCCTGGGATTGAACAGTGTATTCTTTGAGATTGTGAGCAGTAGAGTCAGTCAGGTGGTACTTCACTTTCTTTTGGGTTAAAGCCACCCTTAGTGAACTTAATACTTGGTAAATTTGGGTCTTCTCTGAGTTCAATAACATTGAACATCGATGTTGGTCAGGCAAGTTCTTGGTTCAGCAGAAACAGGAAAACCCTAGACCTTGCATTGTCTGGAGCACTCCTGGACCCCAGTGATACCTACCAGACTGCTACGAACCAACACCTGAGCCAAGTTTGGATACTTAGCACACTGAATCACTGTTTTCTGTATGTACTAAAATGTTTTGCTTTATTAAGGGAGGCTAACTCCAGTGTCCTTGTTGCATAGCTGTTCGGAATAAGCTTGACCAAATGGTTTTCATTTGGGAGAACATACACACGCTGGTGGAAGAAAGGGAAGCCAAACTACTGGATGTAATGGAACTAGCAGAAAAGTTCTGGTGTGACCACATGGCTCTGGTGGTTACCACTAAAGATACTCAGGATCTCATTCGGGACCTAGAAGATCCTGGGATTGATCCCTCAGTAGTAAAAGAGCAGCAAGAAGCAGCAGAGGTAAGCAGAAAATCTCATTTAAAGTTGAAATGCAAGTTATGGCCCAATGAAGCCTTCATTCGTCTGCCAAATATTAGGAATTACTCTTAAGATTATAGTTGATTCTGAACATGTAATGCATAAGTATTGGTAGGAAATACAATGCACTCACAAATTTCACTTAAAGATGTAGATGCAGAATAACTTCTCTCCATCCCCACTGCTTCTTCCCTATTCTAGGGCCTGTTCTCTCTCTTTTTTTTGGTGGGGGGGCTCCAGAGTAACCTGAGGTGCAGAGTCCCTTTCTTGCCAGCCTTCTCACCTCACTGCCAGTCCTCTTTCTAGACCAGCTTGTATTGTGTTGTTGCTTAGAAGCTCTCAGCAGAACACCAGCGGGGTAAAGCCCACACTGCCTACGATGGACTGTGGCAAATCCTGCTTAAGAATTAATGTTCAGTTGGATTAGTAACCCCTATGTAGATCTTTTCTTATAAACGTAGCAAAACTGTGGGCTTAGTATAAATACCATCTCTGTTACCGTAATACTGTCCTTGTGCAAAGTTCTCTACACACAGTGTGACCGATGGTGCTTGCTTATACTTCTGTGCTTCCTAGTGGACTTGGGGACCCCTTGAGCAGAATAGCCAGATCTATTTTTCTTTCTATCCCAGTGCTCTAGTTTAAGCTTAGTTCATGCTTATTAAATAATGAATGAATAAATACATTTTTACCCAGAAGATGAAAGGGCCCTTCATTTCTGTTGTAAATTTCTATAGTTTATAGGTGCTACTTAGGGTAATGTCATAAAATGTAAATTAAAACCAGGTTTTCCTCAGCATACTAACAAATACAGTCTTTGGACTCATATTTTACTATGTCCACTTTAAATGCATATTGTTAAACTAGTTCATTTGGCAAGCAAAATGTCTTTCTGTGCTTCGTGTTGGTATTTTTCAGAATTTGTTCAGGTGTTTGTTACAATTTTTATTTCTTTTTGTTTTTATAATAAAGATCTGGCATTTTAAAAGAGTGCCATTTTTCCTTTAAAATGTTTCTTGTTTCTTTGTGAGAAAATTTGCAGCAAAAAGTTGGAAAACAGAAAAAAGAAATGAAAATAATCCTGATCCCACCTCCCAGAAATGACTATTACCAGCATCTTTGTGTCCAACTCTGTAACATTGTAAGGCTGCCATTTTCTTATTCTAGGCCATACGGGAAGAGATCGATGGGCTTCAAGAAGAGCTGGACATGGTCGTTAACCTGGGTTCAGAGCTCATTGCTGCGTGTGGGGAACCAGATAAACCCATTGTCAAGAAGAGCATCGATGAGGTACAGCTGGCTTCTCTGCTTTTACAGAATGCTTTTCTAAAAATTCAGTGAACTAAAATGTATTTGTTAAAAGTAATCAAAAATTCAAACTTGGTTCTAAAAGAGTTACAACATTCTCTTTTTAGTTAAATTCAGCGTGGGATTCTCTAAACAAAGCTTGGAAAGATCGAATTGACCGCCTGGAGGAGGCCATGCAGACCGCTGTTCAGTACCAGGATGGGCTGCAGGTAGGGCTGAGCGATGTCTAGAAACGTGTACACTGGCACTGTCCCAGGTCCGCAAGCATGCATGCAGTTACTGGGCAAATCTGTTATTTTCCCAGCTACTTTGATTTGGTTTTACCTTTTAAGAAAGTTTCTGACCCTTAGGTGTGTTAACTCATAGGCACAGCTACCCATATAGTCTGTGAAATTTACTTTAAAATGAAATATTTTACTTTTTCTAAAAAAAGGTAAAAGTAAATGTGCCTACACAATCTTTTTCATTAGTGGTTCAGCAGCAGACAGTGAAATGGAACTGCGTCTTGATTCTTTTCTAAAGTTGAGTGGAATGAGATGAAAAGAGTAAACACTCTAAAAATATCTCCAAGTTTAAAGTCAAAAGTAAGGAAATTTGATTTGAAGCCAGTGTTCTCCCTGTACTAAAATAGATTTCCATTTTATTAGGTCATAATCGGGTATGTAAAAGATGTTTTCTTTTTTGCATATATATAATTTGTTTTAAGAGTTGTTTTTCACATCTCTTAAAGGCTCTCATTCAGTTCATTAACTGTGCACAAATTGATTTTTTTAATATTAAAAATTCTCTTGTCAGTTCAGACTTATTCAGGGACATTTTTTTGCTACCTTCCTTGACTTTGTTCCATTTCCTAACAGGCTGGCAGGCATTTAATCTTTCATCCTTCTTACCATATGGAAAACGTCCCTCTAAGTATTTCCATAACACTAAATGAATATTATTCTTAAAGCTCAGATGAGAACAACTTTTCCTTTTTCATTATGCCACTCCATTTCTGTGTTTGTCAAAATAAATATCACCAGCCAGGCTTTAAGTCATCTGAAAAGGGCTTTGAGCTTTAGAAATATATGAGAAATTCACTACAAATAACACCTTATTGCATCCCCCTATTTTTAACCAAAGTGATAATTCATTAGTAAATAGCCTTGGCTAGTAGTACCTAAATGGGGCGCCAGCCCTCTGCGCATCCCTCCAGGTGTGGTGGTGGTCATTGAGTTGCACTGTCCTCCAGGGCTGGAGGTGGCAACACCACCACGGGCAGGGACCTAGGAGCCCACAGGCAAGACGCCATGACCTGTGCCAGGCATGGTGGCGCACGCCTGTAATCCCAGCACTCGGGAGGTGGAGGCAGGAGGATCATTGCGAGTTCGAGACCAGCCTGGGCTAGAAAGTGAGCTCAAGGCCAGCCTGAGTTGCATAGTGAGACCCTGTCTCAAAAAAAAAAAAAAAAAAAAAAAAAAGACAGCATGACCTGGGCACTAACTTGTTACTGCTGGAAAAGCAAGGCCCCTCCTAGGTAGAACTCCTTAGGGCATTAGCACCACCTGTTAGTCATGAAGGGCGTCGTGGTTTACAAATAGCTGTGGGAGTATCATTAGATGTCCAAAGCTCCAGAAGCTGTACAGGGTCTAAGGGTTCATTATAAAGCAAAATATATTTTATTTCCCAGGTTACAGTTTAAATTCTTAGGGTTGATTAATGATAACCTAAAAATATCAGATATTTTTCAGGATTTTTCCCCCGCTATATGATCTGGAAACTTCATTAAAGGACAAAATAATAAAAAATGTGTTGAGCCTTTCTAGAATATTTATAGTAGCTAAAAAGAATAAAAAGAGTAGAGGACTCTGAAGTCTATGTTGCAATCCAGAATAATGGTCTCAGTACTAATCATTTACGTATGCAGGACTTTAATGCTAATCTGAATTTACGTAGGGGTTTAGTTGAAGTAGGTATTTTGCCCGTATGCTGAACAGTGAACTTCTTGCTTATTTCAATAAGTAGATGGGTTTAGACCTTTTTGTTTAGTATATTTTACATAAGAGAACACAGGGAATTTTATTTCATTTGATTTGTAATTTTTTTCTTCTTTTTTTGTAATTTTTTTCAAACAAATACAACTTTTTTTAAAAAAACTTTTAATGTTCTGAGAATCTATTCAGGACAGGTTTCTTTTGAAAACTTAGTAAATACATATAACCTCCAATTGTGCATCTATTTGGGGCAACTCTTCTGTTAGCGTACTGCTTTTATTGAGGTAAACGGTTCTAATTTTTATAAAACAGGTTAATTCCATAATATCTTTGCAGATTTATGATTGTCCTTTTCTGCTATACATGAGATATTGTAGCACTGTCAAAGGCGCCTGTATGGTAACCCCTGGACTAATGTGTCTTTCAGGCAGTATTCGACTGGGTGGACATTGCAGGTGGTAAATTAGCGTCCATGTCTCCAATTGGAACAGATCTTGAAACTGTCAAGCAGCAGATTGAAGAGCTGAAGGTATTTGTGGGACCTAAGTAATTTATCAACGACTTCCTGGCACTTTTAAAGTTTTGTTTTCATTTGTTTATTTGTATTATTTTTGGTTTTGGTGCTGGGGAATCTAATGCAGAGCCTCATGTGCTTGCTAAGGAAAGGTTTTACATAGAGCTACACCTCAGCCTTCCACTTTTAAATCCGTGAGTCACAAAATTCTTACATATGTTTCACATAATTGAAGCATTAAATTTTAATTTTGAAAGTAGTTTAATACAAGGCCTACAGGTAGTAAGCTAGACAGCTGCTCACTAAGTGAAGGAAGTAAAGCTTAGTTGTTTTCTTTTTATACCTGTTCACTGTAGAAAAATCAGAATATATCCAAAAAAAGAAAAATCAATGTTTCTAAGTCACCCAAAATGTTATGTACCCAGAAACAGCTACTCTTGGGAGTTAGTAGAGCCTCTGTGGTATCTTCATGCTGGAGGCACGATGGAGCGTAGTGGGTGCACATGTGCTGTGGGGAGAAAGGAGGAACGTATTTAGATTATACCATTAGATTATAACCAATCTAACACCCACCGCAACATTTTTATTATTTTCATGTGTTCACAGCAATTTATTTATTCTTAAAGGCCAAAAGCACATCCATAATATAATAGTGTTTCCCAAAATGTTTGCATCTTGGGAAAGACAGTAACAAGTTTGGACTTCCTGCCTCGGCCTCACCTCTCACCCTCATGGGTTAAGCCAACATTTCTGTCCACTTTCCCCCATCAGTTCTGCTTTTGTGGTTCTTGATCTACAGTTGTGAAAATGGCTGGATTCTTTTCTCGGTGAATTCTCCTATACCAATAAGCATTTACTAAAGTAAGATTAGTGGTTTTCTTCCTAATTCTTCATACACAGAGACTGCTGTCAGTGGTCTCAATTAGGTGTTTACGTTGAACTACAGCTTGGCTTTAAAACTGAAGCATTTTCATCTCTTAAGTCCAATAGAGTGCTGTATTTAGAAACAAATTCTTTTTGACACTTTTACTGCTGCCATCATTAGATTGAGGAGTTTTGTCTTGACTATCATTAGATTGAGGGGACTTGTCCACTGTAAACCCATGGTCTATTTTATGTACAGTTACAGATGTGGAGGCGAATTTAGTTTGGATAGGTGTGTACACTGGCTCTTGGCAGGCTTCGGGAGTGCTCACTCTGAGACCCGCTTGTCTCAGCTCGTCCAGCTGATGAGCCAGCTGACCTCAGCGAAGTTACCTGCCTGTCTTGCTGCCATGTCCTTAGCTTCATTGGCGGATAAAATTATTTTCCTTATAAGTTGGTTGAGAAGAATTTGAACAGAACAACTGTTGAATTCAGTTACTGTTTTTTAATTAATACTTCCATATGTTTGAAAGAAAATTAAAGGACTGTGTAGCCATTATTTATTATTCCAGATTCAGATAAATATTTTATGAAGATGTTTTATGACGTGGCAATTTTCTTTTACAAGCAACAATTTCCTAACCTACAGTTGGCAAGCCAACATTATTTACTATACATTAGTAACAGAGGAAGCACCAATAATAGCATACTATTCCATGCAAATTATTTAATCTTGTGCCTCATCCACTGCTGACACAGTGAGTGAGGCATGAGAATAACTAAATAGTAAATGCAGCACAGCCTCAAAAAAAGTAATCAGGGATGCAAGAGCTGTATATGTTCAGAGAAAATAATAATGAGTTTCTTAGAGATACTGTTTTCTGATTTTCATATGCTAATATATTTTGTTTTCTTTCCTATAATTTTAACTCAGTTTTGAATATATGTAATTAGATATTGAAAATAAGCTCAACCTTGAAAATACAAAGTTCTAACCCACAGAATTTTTTTGGTTTAAAGTTACTGATTCATAAACAATTTTCCTTATGTACATCTCTTTTTTTAAATAGCAATTTAAGTCGGAGGCTTATCAGCAACAGATAGAAATGGAAAGACTGAACCATCAAGCAGAACTTTTGCTGAAGAAAGTAAAAGAGGAAAGTGACAAACACACTGTTCAAGACCCGTTAATGGAACTGAAACTCATATGGGATAGCCTGGATGAGAGAATTATCAACCGGCAGGTAAAAGCCAAGACCTTTGCTAAAAAGATATACATGGTTAATCTCAGATGTTATTGTAAAACAATTATTAAAAATAAAATCAGGCAGTTACATAAAAACTTGTTGGAAGTATCCAGATCCTCTTATTTCATTAGAAATTTCCTTGGTTATGCCATTTTTCCTTGAAGGATGTTAAACTAAAAATACAGAAGGATATGATGGATATGCTTCATAGGATATGCTTATGGACTTATGTAGCATGAAACAGTTGATTTTTGCCCTTGTTTTAATGCATGTCATTCTTAACGTCAAACTCATAAATGGATTTTCTTCCTCTGCTTTTTTGATAGCACAAGTTGGAGGGTGCTCTGCTGGCCCTGGGTCAGTTTCAGCATGCTTTGGACGAGCTCTTGGCGTGGCTGACACACACTGAGGGCTTGCTAAGCGAGCAGAAACCCGTTGGCAGTGACCCAAAAGCTATTGAAGTGGAACTTGCCAAACATCATGTATGTAGCCATTACTACCTATTATGCTTCCTCTTTTTTTTTTCTCCACTCAGATTTTATTGGTACATTTTAGGAATACATAATGATCATATTCATCATAGAGAATTTGTACCTATACGTGATATAACTTGATTCTTTTTTTTTTTTCTGATTCCCCTCCATCCCTTAACTCCTCCCCATTTACAAAAGCTTTGTTTGCATTTTTCCTCTTTTTCTCATTTTTTTTTTAACATTTCCATTCTTTCCTTTTCCACTCCCCTTTTTCCCCCTCCCCCTTCCTTTTTTCCCCTCCCCATTTAAATATTTTCTTCCTATTTCACAATATCTGTCACACATTTTGGTCCTTGTTTACACTTTCTGTTTCTCACAGCAGAGAAACAGTGCAATGTGTCTGATTTATTTCATTTAAGAGTGTGGGCTCAAGGTGCAGCCATTTACCTAGAAATGTCTCAAGCTTATCTTTCTTTATATCTGAGTAGTACTCCATTGCATAAACAACCACACCCTTTTTGTCCATTCACCAGTTGATGGGCATTTGGGCTACTCCTAAGATTTAGCTGTTACAAACTGTGCCACTATAAATAGTGTGCATATATCGATGTGGTCTGATGCTTTTAATTCTTTTGGGAAAATACTAAGAAGGGGAATTATGCTTCCTCTTTATGCATTTCTAATGTCATCAGGTTTTTTTAAATATGTTTCTACATGAGTTTTTCTAAGTTTGTGATTTTAATAGAAGTATATATTTGGCATTTATAACTAAAGGTTAAATTGCTTAAATACACTTCCTAAAAGATTATAATCAAGACATTTTTTCTCATTGTTCAGGGCAATTATCAAACAGAGAGAGGACTGGAAATTTGTGGCTATATTTTATTAGGGCTTCATGGTAAACTCTAAAACTTTAAATCTGTAGTTATATTTGTCATTGGGCTGCTTCATCTGTTTTTTAAAGTTGTGGGGGATAGTGTAAAAATCATAGGTTTAAAATGTGCTGCCACTGGTTTATGTTTTTACTCTGGTCACCTCCTGGCCTCTTTTACTTAGCCTATTTATACATCTCTCATTATATTATGGTTTTTTCTTCGTCTCTGTGTCACTCTTGCCTTTGACTGACTTTTGTTTCATACTCCTTTTTAAATCAGTTTTTTGAAATATGTTCTAAAGAGTTTTTACAGGTCATACATTTGATTTGGAACTTACAAATTAAAAGTTTTTTTTATCTTGAGATACTTTCATAAGCAAAATAACTTCACATTATTATCACCTTTGTGACTTTCCCTGTCTCTTAAGTCACTAGATCTACTTGGGTTTATGCACAGTAGCATTTATCTTGTCTGACATACCAGAATCTTTCATAGGCTTTAGCATTTACACTAATAGTGGTCTTTTCAAAGTCCTGAATCCTAGTAAATCCTGAATCAAGTAAAATTTCCTTGACTTTCAGATAAAAGATATTTGATGATTTTCCCTTTATTAATATTTTCAAATAAAAGGTAGATTGTTAGCATTTAAAATGGTGTTTGACCATTCTTGCTTTAGTTCTTCCCTAGTTCTTATTTCATAGTACCAGTTGTTCCCTAATTTAAGTTTTTCTTCTTCTTTCCCTGGTCCTGTTTACATGGATAATCACACCAAGCCATATTTGATGAGAAAATTAATGTTTATGTGAAAGCCTGCTCTGCTGTTTAATGTCTACGTTATACCTTTGCTTTGACTGGTCAGAGTGCTTCTGCATAAAAGCGAAATGTGTTTATTTTCTTTTTTTGTTGTTTTGTTTTTGTTTTTTTTTCTGGTACCGGGAATCGAACTCATGACCTTGTGCTTGCCAGGCAGGCACTATGCCACTGAACTAAATCCCCAGGCCCTTGTTTATTTTCATAGGGTGGGTCTATAGAGCACTTCCATTTTCACAGCCCTGATAGTGGTCTTAATAAGCCTGCGTCTATATAATTAGCAGAGGTGGAAACATGAGGTATGAGGATGCAGTTATTTTGTCAGGGATCTCTAGGGACCTTTGAATTGTTTGTCTTTGAATAGTTGGCAGTGTCTACTCTTTTTCTTTTCCTTCCTTTTCTCAAAGATCAAAAGTCAGAAGACTGTTAGAATTCCCAGTAGGGCTGCAAGAGGAAGGAAGGGAACGTTTCCCGTTCCTTTCCTGCATTCTTCTCCCACTCCAAGGCTCTGACCTTACAGCAGAACCCAGACCACTTAGAAACGCGAATTGTATAGAATTATCTTTTAAATTTGAACAAGGAGAAATGTTTTAACTCTTACTTCTTGAAAAGGTAGTTCCCTCTCTTAACAGAGTGCATGCTTTCTAGAAAGGTAACTCCTTCCTTGCCCAGTTGATTTTCCAGCCTTTGGAAAATGCTCCTTCCCTGGGTACTTCAAGAAATGAGTGAGTACAGTCAGAGAAGCTGTGCTCTCAGGGGGCCACTGCCTTCTCTGAAAAATCCCCTCAGGTTTGCACCCCTCCGGACGTGTGATTCTTACACAGCACAAGAGATGGTGTTCTGTTGCCTTACTATTACCACTGCATGTAGGGTAAGATTATAATGATAGCAGCCTTCAGTGAGAAGAGAAGGAAATAGTCAGTGGGTACTTTCTTCCCTTTTGGGGTGCTAACTGTAAAATATGTATGTCTTAGACATGGGATACTTTTATATTTGAAAATGAATAGGTAGGAGTAAAAGTCTTACAAGTTAATTCAAACATGAGAATTAGGTTTAATTAAACGGAGTATAAATCAAAACATTTTAGAACCTTTTAATTACAATCTCTTGATGTATAGTAGTACATCAACTGCATAGTCATTATAATGAGAATGACTAGCAAAATGTTCTCACGTAATTGTTTCAGGAAGTGTTGCTATGCTAAAGGTATATGTAGGAGAACTACAAAGATAAAGGAAGAGGAAGTTGGTTCATCACTTTAAAGCTCAGTGTTAAAACTCTGTTAGGAGGCTGTTTCAGAATGTTCCATGACCAGCAAATAAAACAGCTGCATTAGCACTGAGGTTGAATGCAGTAGCAACTAGTGAACACACGATCTTAATATTTTCAGGTGCTCCAAAATGATGTATTAGCCCATCAGTCCACAGTGGAAGCTGTTAATAAAGCCGGAAGTGATCTAATTGAATCAAGTGCAGGAGAAGAAGCAAGCAACCTTCAGCACAAACTAGAGGTTTTAAATCAACGCTGGCAAAATGTTTTGGAAAAAACAGAACAAAGGAAGCAGCAGCTGGATGGTGCCTTGCGCCAGGTGATTAAAGATAATAAATTCTGAAACTTGCTGTGGTTTCCAGGACCAAAAGAGTATGGATGTCTTTCTCTCCTTCACAGACTGCTGTTTAATTTTTATACCTTAAGGAGAGGAGTGAGAATAAGTGGGATAAAGAACAGCAGAAGAGAGGTAGTGATCTAGTTCCTGGCATAATACTCTGATCTGCCGAGCTCCCGATGAAGCAGGCAAATTGAGTGATTGATACCTGGCAGTCAAGGCAGAGGGAGACGTAGCAGGCGGGGCTGTTTAAACCTTGTTTTCCACCCGAAAGTGACCAAATTTAAAACTCCCTGTCACTTCAGGCCAAAGGCTTCCGTGGAGAGATTGAGGATCTGCAGCAGTGGCTGACTGACACAGAGCGTCACCTGTTGGCGTCTAAGCCTCTGGGAGGTCTACCAGAAACAGCCAAGGAGCAGCTGAACGCCCACATGGTGAGTACAGTGTCTCCTGCTGCCCTGGCCCCAGGCCGCCAGACGATTGGTGGGCCCTGGTGATACCTAAGTAATGGGAGGTTTTTAAAGAGATGATGATTTTCTTAGCAGAATTCACGGTGTAAGTGCTATAAACAAAACCATTTAGTCATTAAATTTTTCAGGTCAAAACCTAGCCTTATTTCAGAGGTTAGTTTTGTCGGGATACAAAGAAGAGATTTTAGAAGTCTAGAGGGTTTTTTGGAAGCAAAAATGCCTCCACCAAACGATAAGCTTGTATGGCTGGTAGTACAACATTGAGTAAGTGGTGCATGGTTGTACTTTGTGGTGTAAAGAAAATAGAAAAATTGGACTTAAAATTAATGTTCAAGTATATTTATGAATATAAAACTATTTCTCATATTAACTGGAAACTAAGTCCTTGTTCTTTTACAAGAAATGGCTTGCTGGGGCCAGGGATATAGCTCAGCGGCATTAGTGTTTGCCTGGCAAGCCTGAGGTCATGAGTTTGATTCCCAGTACGCAAAAGAAAAAAAAAAAGGGCTTGTCTTAGAGATGATCGAGCAGAGAGGCAGAGGCTTGTGCTCAGCTGTCCAGTCCAGACCATTTGCCTTCAGGCTGTTCTCGTCCAGTTTCTATGGCAAGTCTCTAAGAATGAGAACAAAAAAATATGGAAACTTGAAACTCTGGCTTATTTCTTTATAATATGGACTGACAAATTTAGAATATCATTGATTTATTGGCAGTTCCTATTCATGTCTCTTTCCAATTCAGCTCTAAAAATCTGAGAAAAAGCAGTTATTCAGATCTGTGAAACTGTTCCTCTAGTTTTTACAGTTATAAATTTGCATCCAAAAATTTTTTTAATATTCAACATTCATAATTACTCTCTTTAGAAGTAGGAATTTGGCAAAGAAGGAGGCCATCATACATGAAAATCGGTATTCTTTAATAGCTGTCTAATGTTGTAAAACCTTAATAAAATTTTACTTATTTGGAAATAATTTTGAATTTAGTGGTGTGAAGTAACCATCTTGACATAGATAACATCTTACTCTTTCACAGTTATATGGAATAGCTAAAATAAGTCCTGTTATCCAGTATAGACTTGTCTAGAAGTTATTATAGTATATTATTTTATCCATTTCACTTTGGTTTTTTTTTTTTTTTTTTTTGGTTTTTCTCCGGTACCGGGAACCAAACTCAGGACCTTGCGCTTGCCAGGCAGGCGCTTTTGCCGCTGAGCTAAATCCCCAGCCCTATAGTATATTATTTTAGAAGTGTATTTTGTGCAATTACTGTCATTGTTTGGTGCCGTAAGGGACTCGTTTGTTTCACTGAAAAAGTGATGGCTACATAATAACTTGGCAGTACTTGCCTTCCTTTTCTATAAAGCTCGAGTAGTAACCTCCAGACACCTTCTTGCTTTTCTGGAGTGCTTGTGTTGCATTTATAGAGTCTATTAATTACAAGTTGAATGAACTCTTGAACAAATAAATTATTGGTATTATTTCAATAACAAATATCTTTAAAATGTTAATTCAGAAGAATATTAGTACCAACTTGAAAGCAAAAATCTCTTCCTTAGAATACTTTACTTTTAGAAAAAATGTTTTATATGAATGTACTTAGCTTGAGTGGTGTACTACCAGATGCTCAAAACTTAAAGGAGGAGAGAGCTAATTTGGCTCACATTTTAAGGGATTCGGTGCATGGTAAGCTGGCTCCAAGGGAGAAATAGCATGGCAGAGGGATGTGGCAGGGGACAGTGCCGCAGAGGAGGGGATGAGCGACCAGGTACAGACCATAGTACACATGGCCACGTGACCAAGCCCGCCGTACTTACGCTGGAAAATGTGTTCACCACAAGTCAAGTTGGCACAATCAAGCTTAACTGTCACAATGGGATGTTTAAAATGAATTTTCTATAACTGTGTATAATGTGTGAGGCTATGGAAATTTCATGATTTAAAGAATTTCGAAGTTATTGATTAGTAATACCATTTGAGTAATGTTCTTTTAATTTGGCTTTGCTACAGATGAAGAAAAATACAAAATATAATCTAAACATAGCTAAAAATGTTTACATTTTTTAAAATGTATTACTGCCATTAATCTCCCTCAAAATATTTTCCCTTGCTTCAAACACACTTACCCCATTTTTCTTGCCACTTTCTGAAGCAGTTTTTGAAAGTCCTCTTTTGTGTCTTTAGTTGGATTGCTGTGGCTGATTCACTGTCTTGAATCTATTCCAAACATTTATCTTTCATGGTCATTTTGACTTTGGGGGAGGAGCCAGAAGTCACACGGTGCCAGATCCAGTGAACAAGGTGGATGAGGACTCACCATAATGTTTTCACGAGCTGCCTTGCCTTTGGATGACAGGCAGCAGCAGTCCCCATATTTTTTTAATCACACTTCACAAAGGCAGGAAAGAAGACTTCAGAAGTGCTTCAGACAGTGGCAGGAGTGGTGGGATAAGTGTGTTTGAAGTGTGGGGGTTACTTTTAGGAGAATTAATGGCAATGTGTCTTTTACTGTAAGTTTTTAAATTCAGTCATTCACCATATAGTTTGGTCATCCCTTGCACATAAGTTTCTTAGGAAAGCTTTGAGTAGGTGGTATTGCAAATAGGTTTTGAAAGAGGTTGTTTTTAAAAGGACACTACGGAGTTTTGAGATGATGAAAATGTTCTACAGTTAGTGGTAATTACTTGCATAAATTTATGAATTTACTAAGAAACACTGGAATATGCACTATTAAATGGTGAATTTTATGCTGTATGAATTATGTCCCAGTTTATGAAATTGTAAGGCTAAAAATATTAGTGAGATATAATATGTATTTGTCAGTGGAAACTATGATTTGACCCACATTGTAATTCAATCAGTGGAATAGAACTGAACTTAATTTTTAGAATGAAATATATGTGTTATTTCACTGGTCTTAGATTTTGAATTTGTTTGAGCAAAATCTTCCTATATTCTCTATAGAAGATACACACTACATTCAGATTGGAAGCTTTAAAAATGTTTTAAGTGAGATTTTATTCACAGCACCACAAGTATGGCTGTTGTTATCTATGAAACTGAATAATCAGTGTAAATATCTTTGTGCTTGTACTTTGCTTTCTGTCCGTTGCATGTTTTCTGATCAAGGAATAAATTATACAAATCAGATATAGTTAGTGAGTCCTAGTACAAAGAAGGGCATAAATGTCCCCTACTTTACAGAGCAGGAAATTGAGACCCAAAGAGCTTAAATTATTTGAAAGCTGATTAGGTACTATACAACAAAACCTTTCCTGACAGTATGAAAACTAATACTTCAAACATTAGCACCCCAGAGAAGGTTGACAATGGAAACACCACTTCTGGGCTTTCTCAGTAGAGAAGCATGGCTTTAGGGTTAAATACTGTTCCAACAGAGTGAGAAATTTAACCTTAGCAGTTCTGTGTGCCAGAAATGAGCATTTGGTGAAGGGCTTGGGATTGATGACCTGACAAAATAGGACTCTTAGATACTGTTCTCTTGAAAGCAATATAATTTGAGGGTATCTCAATTTAGGAAGTCTGTGCTGCGTTTGATGTTAAAGAAGAAACATATAGGAGCCTGATGCAGAAAGGCCAACAGATGCTCGCAAGCTGCCCCAAATCTGCAGAGACAAATGTTGATCAAGATATAAATAACTTGAAAGAAAAATGGGAATCAGTGGAAACAAAACTCAACGAGAGGAAAGTATGTGCTTTAGTATAATAGACTTGGTATTACAGTAATATAATAGTTTGTTTATGTCATAGGTTTTGACTTATTTCTGAGAACCATCAAAAGTAGAATTTCTAATGATTCATGTTTAAATTTTTTGTATACTTGAAGATTTTGTGAGGGCAGTTGAAAATTGTATTCTAACTCAAAAGAACAGACAATTACAGGAATCTATTCAATGTAGATGAAAATATTTAATAGACCAAGTGTCACTTAGGTATACTTCTATATATTGTAAACACTCAAATTCAAGATTGTTAATTCTGTTTTAATCTCAATCATTAAAGGAGAGGAAGAGTAAGAGAGATGTTTATATATTTTATCAGTGCTTATATAAAAATGTGAGAAAGGAATTATGATTTATGGATTATGTATTTTTTGCCACTTTTTAAAAAAACAGAATAATCTGAGAAATCTCAATAATACCATTTAATGCTATAAGAAAAACAATAGGCTAAAATACTAGGTTATTATAGCATTACTGATAAGTCATAAAGTATGTTTTATAGGATTTTTATTCTAGCACTTAATTGTATGACTGTCAGTTTTTGTTCTTACCCCGTTCTGTTTAGTGGGGTTTGAAGTTGTGTTGTTATTAATTGCCATAAACACAATTTAGTGTCCACTTAATTTTTTTAGCTGCAGGGCAATGTTTCTTACTTATGGGGTTTTAAAAAGCTTGGTTCAGCAGTAGGTTAGTGAAGGGTCATTACAGTCTCAAGTTGCTTAGTTAATAAAGATACAAAATGAAGGGGAAGGAATCTTCCAGAGAAGGATTAACCTGAAACAAAGTAACCAAGGCTCTTCAGCCGCAGATACTTTACTAACTAAGCTCTCTTCACAGATTAAACTGGAAGAAGCCCTCAGCTTGGCAGTGCAGTTCCACGACTCCCTGCAGGACTTCATCAGCTGGCTCACCCAGGCTGAGCAGACCCTGAATGTGGCTTCCCGACCCAGTCTTATCTTGGACACAGTCTTGTTTCAAATTGATGAGCACAGGGTATGTAGCGGCCACTCAGATGGACGACTTCCTCCTTTCAGACACCAGGAGTTTTAATGTCTGAAGTGTGGATTTGTTAGTTGAGAACTTTGTCTTGTTTTATACAACTCTGTGAGCTTTGTGATACCTGAAGCATTTCTGAGACAGATCCATTTTTCCTTGTTTCTGATTATGTCTGTTTTTTGTCGGGGGGAAGGTCTTCGCCAATGAAGTAAATTCTCACCGCGAGCAGATAGTAGAGCTGGATAAAACTGGAACCCACCTGAAATATTTCAGTCAGAAACAAGATGTTGTCCTAATTAAGAACCTACTCATCAGCGTACAGAGTCGGTGGGAAAAAGTAGTTCAGCGATTGATAGAAAGAGGAAGATCATTGGATGACGCCAGGAAGAGAGCTAAGCAGGTAAGAAAGCTCTGCGAAAATTCTCCGACCTTGGCAGTAAGTGAGCGGCAGTGATTGAAATGCATGGGATTAAAACACTTGCGCTGCAGGCTGTGCTAGCAGCGGCGATCAGGAACTGTGTGTCCACTTCCTAAAAGGGCTGTGGCTTACCTTGGCACGCTGGTTTTACTCCTTGGACCTGGCAGCAACTTCAGGCCCTGTGGACTAATCTTGAAAAGACTGATTATAGCTTGGCTTCGTAGAGGGGCCATTATCATTATGGCACAGAAGGGAGCTCCAGATTTTGTTACTGGGTTTGTTTGTTTTTTCTCTGGCCTTTTGGCCTCCACTCTCATACTCAGAGGATTGCATTATACTTCACTGTGTCACTTACTCATCTTTGCTTCCTGAACTGAACCTGCCTCAGTCTTCAGAGCCAGCAGGCAGGCACGCGGAAGCACAGGCAGCTGGGAAGGGGCGTGTTGGGTCTGAGTTGGTCGGCGCTCCCCTCCTTTCTCAGCACTTGTTGACAGCCCCGATCTCCTCCCTAACCTTTTGATGCAGCTTCCTCTCATTTTGAAGTAATGGTTCGGGTCTTTTTGCAGTACTTAATTTATTCTAGAGAATTTCACAAGAGAGTTTTTCTCCTCTCTTTGGCTGTTATTATCATTCAATTCAGGACTGAATATAGAGAGGTAAAGTTATACATCTCTGAGTGTCTCTGTACACTGTGCAAGTAAGATATACCCCCTTACTTGGCATGTATCTTTTAAAAAATGTATTTAATAATTTCACCAAAAGTTTAGTATATTATTGAACACTTGACCCTTTCTGCCCCATTCCACTGCATTTGCTTAGCATTGTTGTATTCCGTCAGTTAGATGGTACAAGACAGTGTCAGAAATGTCAGGTGTTTCAGGGTTGACACTATCAGTACGTATTTTTGGAGGCTTAGAAATGACAAATTGCATAGTTACGGAATTTCACGCCATATATCCTTTTTTGAGTGGGGAGTATGACATGCTCAGGATTGGAAGTGAGTCTCTGGAATAGGATCTGCCGCTAATTCATTTCTTTTGTTCAGTAATCATTCTAAGCCTAATGTTTTGGTCTCCACATTATGTAGCACAGTGTCTTCTGTAGTACGTCTTGAATTACAAGCATCAGATTTATGAAGGTGTTCACTCTCCTTCCCTTCTCCTCTTCATCTGCTTCATTGTCTTAACTGTATAAATATTCTGCACAGTTTTCATCTGCAAAAAGCATTTCCTCTACTTACTTCAAAATAGCTTCAAAGCCAGAACCCATTTTAGAGCCTGTGGTTTATATCATTGAACTTCATGTCCAGTTGGTACATCCTCTGTTAATTGAAGTCAGACTGCACAGCAACTAGACAAGCAATTTGTTTCGTTTCTTCTTATCAATCAGTTTTTGGCTCCCACGTTGATCATAGCTCTGACACTGGCAATGTATGTACCTATTCTGACCTTGCTTTTTTCATGTGTAGCTTGACTAGAGTTGTGGGAGGGATGTAGAGGGAGAAGAGTAATGCAGTAATATCTAGTGGGCCCTTGTAGCTTTGTGATTCTGTGCCTGAGTTTGCTGGTATTGTTAGATGTTTTTTGTTATTTCCTTATTAATATGTTTTGAAATATAAGGAGTTTGTATAAATTACTTTGTTTTTGGTATGTATCTGTTCATTTACATTGGTTATAAGAAATAATTTATAACCAGTTTCCCAATCAGGTACAGAAAATTAAAGCCCACTAGTTTTGTGTATGATAAACAGAAAAGATACATGCCTAAAATCAGATGTATGCAGCCCAAGATATTTGCAAGGTCTCAGATGGCAAAGAGAATTACATTTTCTTAGAACTAAAATATTGTGGGTACATATAAAACCAATACATGAGGCACAAGCACTAATGTGAGAGTTCTGGTAGCAGCAGGAAAGATGTTAAACTACCTTTGTATTAAATAGGAAGGTATGGGGCTGGGTACTTAGCTTAGCGGCACAGCGCCTGCCTGGCAAGCGCAAGGTCATGAGTTCAATTCCTGGTACCAGAAAAAAACCAAGGAAAAAAAAAAAAGGTAATGGCCTCTTTTTATTTTTGCTTCTTTCTTGCTTTCTTTCTTTCTTTCTTTCTTTCTTTCTTTCCTTTGAGACAGGGTCTCGTTATGTTTGTTTGTTTATTTTATTTATTTTTTTTATTTTGAGACAGGGTCTTGCTATGCAGTTCAGGCTGGCCTTGAGCTCCCTTTGTAGCCCAGGCTGGCCTCGAACTCATAACAATCCTCCTGCCTCCGCCTCCTGAGTGCTGGGATTACAGGCGTGCGCCACTATGCCCGGCTATTCTTGCTGCTTTAAAAACCAAATGTACAGGCTCTATAATTCTTCATTCTCTTTTGTTCCATTTTATTAACTGAGGAATTAAACACCTTAGATGTAAGTCTAGACCTATCAAGAGACAGTAATGGACATAAAAATATAAATGAAACAAATACAAAAATATGTTTTTGAGAATTTATGTTAAAATTTGAGCAAAAAAAAGTAAGAAGAAAGGCAGTTTTCCCTTGAGCTCCATACCTGTTTCTAGGGCTGTTTTTGCTAAAATGATATGTTGGATGAGTTACAGCAAAGTGACCACAACCACAAACACCAAGCATTGTAAGGCATTTTATAATTTGCTGATAAAAGCATTTTTTTCTTCAAGGGAAATTTTAAATGAATGATTTTCAGCATGGCTATAAATATTAATTTCTGTTTTAAAATATGCCATAATTCACATACATGCTCAAAGTTTTTCTGGACAAAGATGAGAGTTTCTTTTACAGTTCCACGAAGCATGGAGTAAACTTATGGAGTGGCTGGAAGAGTCCGAAAATACTCTGGATTCTGACCTGGAAATTGCCAATGATCCAGACAAAATAAAAGCACAGCTTGCACAGCATAAGGTGAGTCTGTTAAGGAAAGCATATTGCCTCATATATTTCAAGATCACTTCCAAATTCTTACTTGATCTTGTATTTCCTCGCCGATAAAGCAACGAAGACTACCAGTGTGAACCTATACTAAATTTCAAAACAGTAGCTCTTCACATTGGTCAAGTGGCAGTGATGCCTTTACTTCTGGTGACCATTTCACTAATATTCAAGGGTTAATTATTAAAAGAAAAACACAAAATTACAGCTGGAATACATCTACATTCTAAAATGGGTGAAGGGTCTTAGCGGTGTGGACATTGATATTTCAGTTTTCACAACCACTGTCATGTCTTGTATTTTTTCATAGATCAGGTGCAACCTTGAAGGTAATTCTGTAGTAAAAAGTAATGCAGATTTTGAGGTATGGATTCTTTTAAACAAAGGAAAGATAAATTGATTGTATTACCTAACAATTAATACTTTATCACATCTGCATGTATATAAAATTCTACCCACATCCTCGGACACATGGTCTCAATGACTTCTTCGTGTAGACTAGATGAGTGTGGAAATGTATTTTTAAAGTATTTCTGTTTGTTCCACAGGGCATTCAAGAGCATTCCCTGCTACCCTTCCCAACTCTCTTTTTTTACTGGGTCTTCCTATCATTCTGTTTGTAAATTGGCCATCAGCCATCAGGGTGCACATGTAGGTAAAGGAAAGTGGTTCCTGCAGACAAGCAGCGAGGTATAAATTGCTGCTTGAAACATTTTAAAAGGCTGAAAGAGCCTTTGGTAATGTTAAGTACATTAATGTACACAGTAACAATACAGTAATGTTACATTGGTAGCATAAAAACATTTTGTGAGATTTACCATCGTCAGAAAATTCTTAGCCATTGTCTCCACCTAGGTGGGTTGCTGCCCTCAGTCTAACCTCAGAGAGTCATTACCCATTGGTGCCAGAGCAAACATGCTGCGCATCTGTTCTCTGACTGAAATAGGACTTAGGAGTGTCCTGTTCTGCAGCAGCCTCTGCCCACAAGCTGCCACATCCAGTCCTAGGAGCGCAGTGACAGTAAACAGCACCTTCCATCCTTCCCCTCTGATGGGAAAGCAGGAGCCTCCTCTTCAAAACAGAATGCTTTATTTGAACTTAGAGGAGCAAGAATATGCAAAGAACCTTATTAGATTCTCTGTTTTGTAGTATTACGTACTGCCAAAGTCACCAGTTTCTCCAAAATACATTTCAGGGTAGTTCATTAAACCAATTTTAAAAGAAGTGTTCACCGTTCATTATTTGGGGACTTTTGTCTTTACAAAGTTTTAATCAACCGGTACTCAGCTATGAGATTTATTTATGTATCTGCTGTGTAAAGAAAATCTGTGTCAGTATCATGATTCTCAACTCAAGCATTCTTTTCAGAATAGCATGAAGAGGTAATCCCTACAGATAAACTAGAAATGGTGTGATACTGTAATTGTTTTAGTACTTAAAGGTGTCCAGATGTAGTTGCCTTCCAATACAAAACAAAAAAAATGTGTCATGTTAAAGCATTTAAAGTGTTGCTTTTAAAGGCAATAAAAATTTATTAGGTATTGTAATTGTAACTTTGAGATTATTTGGGGAAGCTATTCATTTACATAGTATTTTATTATCTAGTTTGATTCTAATGGACTGTCAGGATGGTGAATCGCTGCGTTAGTATTGCCTTGGTATTTTATGAGCTTGTAAGTTCCCCCTTAAGTTGACCTACCTACCTCTTGTCCCTGAGGTTGTATATTCAATAGCAGTTGTCTCATTTTTCTACTCTATATCTTACAAATATTTATTAGGTATAAAATGATAATGAGAGCCTACAAAGACAGTGTTTCTGCTGTGTACAGGTTATAATTATGGCACACAGAAAGAATGCAGTTCTCCCACTAACCTTACACACATGTATATATATGAACATGGAAGGTTCACTGGCTGTATAAACAACAGCAGAGGTTAGATGTTCTATTAGCAACTTAAGGATTTGATACTGCAAAAGTAATGTGTAGATCTTTTGAGGTATCACTATGCTTTGTATAACTGAGTAGGCAGAACGTAGGTTTCCCACACGGTCTGAGCAGTAGGTCCAGACACCGGAATCGGAGAGGCCGGTCCTTCCCTGCCACTCTTTCAGGCTCAGAGATAGAATGGCATGTATTGTTACTGTACCTAACCAAAGTGTGCGCAGTAAATGTGTTTGAACAACAACAAAAAAGAGCCTTTAGTAACTGTGTCCATCATTGAATCACTCTGTACTCTGGACGTTGTTTCTCTACTCACAGAGCAGTGGCCACGTTTTCCAGTCCCAAACCCTGTTTTCAGTACTTTATCAGCAACTATTTTATCATAAATACGTATTGTGGTGTTTGTTGCTTATAGGTAACAGGTTCAGGGCTAACGGTAGAGCTCACCGGTAGAGTGTTTGCCTTGCATACATGAAGACCACTTGAGTATGATTCCCAGCACTGCCCCCGGAAAAATTCAGAGAAAAAATTTTTTTGGCTTTGAGATTATTTTCTCAAGGTTAGTTGGCTTCTGAGAAAAGTAAATCCTTCACCGTGGAAGTTTAGATTTTTAGGGGGCCCTGTTAGGTTCCTTTGTCGAACTCAGCACTGTAACCTGATTCCTTGCTGTCTCCCATGTAAGAGACCCTCCTGCAGTGCCTTTTGCTTGTTTGTTCGCAAGTCCTACAAAAAAATACACAGTTTTCTTGTTAAATATGTAGGAGTTTCAGAAATCACTAGGAGCCAAGCATTCTGTCTACGATACCACCAACCGAACTGGACGTTCGCTGAAGGAGAAGACCTGCCTGGCTGATGACAACCTGAAGCTGGATGACATGCTAAGTGAACTCAGAGACAAGTGGGACACCATCTGTGGAAAGTCTGTGGAGAGGTGAGATGCTCCTTTACAGCTTGGTTACTTTGTAGGCCTCCAGCAAGGAGAAAGTAACGGTGCTTTGTAGACATGCTTGAGGGCCCCTCCATGCCCCTTTACCCGGGGAACATCTGCTTCACCCATGGACTGCCTGACCTGAGAAAGCTTTTCAGTTCATTATTTACTTTAAACTGCTCCTTCCAGTCAAAATGGTATTCTTCTCCAATCCTCTGCCGTCTCTTATCCGACTACACCCACTGCGTCTGACTGGTCTCCCAGATACACTTTTTATCTGTCCTTTCATCTTATTTCCACTTCACCGTGAGGAGAGATTTTTGGAAATGTAAATGAACTCTTACCATCCCCTTCAGCTTCATCCCTCAGTGCTCTCTACTGGGTATGAAATAAAGCAGGTTCTGCCCCACTTTAGCTGCTCTTCTGCCTTCCATCCACCCCCCCAGCTTCTTTCCTGTTACACTTCTGTGAAGGCTAAGATTTACTTTAGATTTTCAAGTATTTAAGAAAGTACACCAAAAGAGTTCAGATATCTTATAAATATTATCAATTTTTCATTAGTTTTTAGTTTTAGTTACTTTGTCAAAGGTGTTAAGTGTCCTGTATTGAAATGATTGGACCTAGAAATGTTTTAGGTTTTTGCTTGTTAGTTTTTAGAATATTTACATATAGATATTGAGATATATTGGGAAGTGAGAGTAACTTTTTAGTTTTAATAATATTGTGCATGAATTAGAGTTTCAGTGGTATGAAATTTTCCATTTGAGGCACCGTGTTGCTGCTTAAAATGTTTGATTTCAAAGCAGTTTGGATATTGGATTTTTGAACCAGGAATGCCTAACCTGTATCAAGATTAAATATAATGTTATAGTCAGTTCTAAGGAACTTCTCAGTATGTTTTTGCAGTGCCTGTTCATTGAAAAAAAGGACTTATCCAGTCTCAAAAGGTTACATGCTTTTTTACAGGGTCTTGTAAATGATTTCATTTATGGCATTTTTAAAAGACAAGCAATTGCAGTGATAACAGATCAGTGAGTGTCAAGATGAAACACAAAGAAACAATTCTTCTTCTTGAGTACCACCTAACCTGTATGAATAAACTCACTTTTCTGTGACTCAGATTAATTTTTCTGTCTTCCCTTCCCCCAGACAAAACAAACTGGAAGAGGCACTGTTATTCTCTGGACAATTCACAGATGCCCTGCAGGCCCTTATTGATTGGTTGTATAGAGTTGAGCCCCAGCTGGCAGAAGACCAGCCTGTCCATGGGGACATTGATTTGGTGATGAATCTGATCGATAACCACAAGGTATTGTTGTCTGGGACATTTTATTTTACCATGTTTGATTATTTGGAGTAGAGAGGGACATATAACCACTTAAATTAGCCCTTAAAATCAGGAGACTGTGTCGTACTCTACATTACTGTCTTTATTATTAAAGTACCATGTGCCTTTGAGAAGAATCAGGAAGCCAACTTTAAAAGCAATAGGAAAGAATTATTTAGTTTTCAGTAAGATGTTTTTGTATTTAGTTATCAAATCTAAAACCTTTGTATAATTAAAGTAGTGATTTCATCCTTTGGTGCTTTAAAACATGTTCCAAGGATGTTTTACTATCTTTAGTTACTCATTTAAACAGTTATGTAATAAAATTTAGAAGCATACATTCGGTGGCCTGGAACAAGATCATTGGGTAAGTGAGTAGATTTGTGACATGACTCATGGGGGTCATGATTACATGCTGTCTTCTTTTGGAAACTTTTTTAATCTTGTCCCTTACCCTGTAGTGATTTATGAGTCAACAGCATGTTTGTTTGTTTTGTCTTTTTGAGACAGGGTCTCCCTATGCAGTTCAGGCTGGCCTTGAGTTCGCTTCGTAGCCCTGGCTGGTCTCGAACTCCCAGTGATCCTTCTGCCTCAGCCTCCTGAGTGCTGGGATTTCATGCGTGTGCTATCATGGCCGGCTAACAGCATGTTCTTATGAGGGATTTATTATTCATTTCAAAAAAATTGGTTTCTTTGCAATCTGCTTATGCAGCTCTAAGATACATTTGAGGCGTCCAGTTGATAAGTTTGAGGTCCTAAATGATTATCACACGATAAAATACAACCCAAAGGACTGTGGAAGCAACAGGAAGCACGGTCCTAATGGAACAGCTGTGTCAGAGTTGACTTTATGTACACATACCTCACAGTACCCTACCTGAACTCCGGGGTGTGTCCTCTGCACTTCTGAAGTTCAGAAAGTATATTTCATTTTAAAATGTTTACTTTATGCTCCTGGGTTATGCTGTATTGATATGTGTGTTTCTAAATAGCTGGGTTTTTTGCACGTTTGTTTCCCTTTTCTATTTTTATTCTGGGATTATTCTATAAGGAGAGTTTGTGATACTTGAATATTAACAGAAAATAAAAGAAAAAGTAATGACCAGGCCAACAAAAATTTAAATATTGCATTGCTTTGCTTATATTGAAACAAACATTTTGTGCATGATGAATACAAACCTTTCCATTGCCTGGCACACATTCAGTGATTAATGAACGGTGTAATGTTACTTTTACATAAATGCCATTTTTATAAGCTCATTGTCTAAATATTTACTACCTTAGTCACTTGCCAGGCTTTTTATATATTAAAGGTCAGCAAGGAATGAATGAATCATGTAGCATTAGTAATACAATTGGAAGGCTCAGGAAGTTGAGTGTACAGAATACACTGGGCCGTCTGCTCCTGTCACACATGGACTCTTTGGATATCGTTCCTTGTGTGCGTGTGCACACACATGTGTGTGTTGTGTTTGTATGTGTTTGTGTGTTTATCTGCAGGCACAAATCATTTAACACTGTTAGAATAAAATCAGAGACTCCACCATACTGTTTGGGTTATTTTGGATGGGCTCCCTTTTGTGACTGATCTTAGACAAAAGGTTGGTTATTTGAAATACCAAGTTTTATAAGCATTCTTGATCTGACGTGAAGTACCCTGGGACCACTTCTTGATTAAGTCTGAGACCAAAGAAGTCAGTTTAACTCTTGGCACATCAGAGTTCATCAAAATTAAGAAGGAAGAAAAAAAGCCCCCAAAGCTCTTCCTCTAAGATGAGAGATAAGAATTCTCTAAAACTTGAAATCATACGTTAGTACCCAAGATGCTGTGAAGACAAAGGCACATTACAGAAAAAAGGACCATGTACCAGCTCCCTGTGGGATCCTGTCCTTGTCTCTGAGGCCTGGGATGTACCAAGATGACCGAGTGGTCTGCCTCACCTGTTGATGTAGTGTGGCAGCCAGCATGCACGCAGCACTCACGCTAATCTGAGAGAGGTTGGGACACCTGTTAAAAGAGTCACAGAAGGAGGAGTTGGATACATTTGTGTGCATGTGTCGTGTACACAATACTTGTGTCTGGTTCCCCCCTGAGAGTGTTACAAGACTAAACAAAGGGAAACAAGACTGTTCTTGATGATGCTCTTACCTCTGAGGTTCCACCGGTGCTGTGGCCATCAAACTGCAGGTTTCAGATGTCTGCCAGTGATATTTTATACACATATGTATTCAGACCAGCACATCTTGTTATTGTGGTTTTGTAATCAAAACTTAATTTTAATTACTATGATTTTCTTAGGTCTTCCAAAAAGAGCTGGGGAAGAGGACCAGCAGTGTGCAGGCCCTGAAGCGCTCTGCCCGGGAACTTATAGAAGGCAGCCGCGATGACTCCTCCTGGGTCAAAGTCCAGATGCAGGAGCTGAGCACGCGCTGGGAGACGGTGTGTGCGCTTTCTATCTCAAAGCAGACGCGGCTAGAAGCAGCCCTGCGCCAGGTAAGAACCATACCAGAGGTGTACTGAAAAGTACTGAAGCCTCAGCTAGAAAGGCTACAGTGGAAAACTGCAGTAGTCCTCATTCTCCCCGTGGGCTGTCAGGAAGGAAAAATGCTGATTACATCACTGCCTTGACCTGTCCTCTGCCTCCCTCCGGACTTTGAGTTTTTCATGGAGGAGAAGCTTGCTGATCTTAATAAAAAAGTGCTGCTGAAATAATTTTTCAGCTTGAGGGTCTTGTGTGCTACCATTCACCTAAAACCAAATTGTTAAAAATGATTAATTATTCTACTATAAGTAGATGAATTATTCTACTTAATGAGATGTTTGATATTTTCTTATATTTGTAAAATGCAGTACTATATATCTTTATCTTTTTAATGTGAGTAATGTACATAATTAGGCAATTTAAATCTAAGACTTTTTTTCATTGAGGAGAACATTCTACTGTTCAATTCTGTGAATATCTGTAACAGGCATATTTTGAGATCTCGTGTGTCTGTGTGTGTGTGTGTTTGTTTTAACACTGTCAGGCAGAAGAGTTCCACTCGGTGGTGCATGCCCTCTTGGAGTGGCTGGCTGAGGCAGAGCAAACCCTGCGTTTCCATGGTGTTCTCCCAGATGATGAAGATGCTCTCCGAACTCTCATTGACCAGCATAAAGTGAGTAACTTCTAAACACTAAGTATAACTAAATGAGAAAAATGAAACAAAGTAGATAAAACAGATGTGATTACAAATATCAAGTGCTTGAATATTTTCCTTCCTGAGAAGTAATGAAACATCTGGTACATTTCGGCATGTATCTCCATCCTTCTTGCTAATGTGCAGGTATCCCTGCACATGCGCACAGGTGTTTAGAGAAGGTGGTTATTCTGTAATTAGTGTTTCAGACCTCTAGGAGTCACACTGATTTTTCTTGGAGGTTATTCGACTACTGACCACAATTGGTCAATTTTGTTAACTTTTATATGGATTTCGAGAAGGAATCATCCTTAATGAGCATTTTGACATTTATAAAATTGTGCTAGTAGAATTATAAGTTAATATCTTTGACCTTTATAAGCAAAGGAAACACGTCATTTGCCTGCCAAACATAATACATTTTTTGTCATAAAGGGGCATAACCATGGGTATGTCAAACCCATGCTTATTCTTTAGAATATTTCTATTAATGAATTATTACTTTTAATTTTATGAGTTTTATTATATTAAACAAGGGCTTAACAGCAAAAAAGTCACAAAAAATAAGATACTGCATTTTAATTTTTATTGTTTATAAAAAGCTTCAAAATTTTCATCATTGATAAGTTTTTGGTGTACAGAATAACAGAAAAGAACAACAGTGAAAATACCAATAGCACTCTACAAAAAAAAATCTTCAGTTATCACACCTAAGGCAGTGTGCACACACGACAGTAACATGTTCCATACACATTCATCACTTACACGAATAACGCATGTATTTTGCTTCCTGGCCTTTTTGTAAGACATACTTGACATGTCACTGCTCTTGCTGTTTTGTCAAGAGGTTCTTATTATATTATGCAACACATAGTTAACAAGAACATAAAATATCAATAAAATAAAGTGTTACATTCTTAATATGTATTGCACATTTAGAATAAACATCAACATTTTCATATCAGCTGTGTACTTGCTTACAGAACCTAAAAGATAGCATCAAAAATAAATTCCCATATGAACTACAATGAAAATACTAATAGCACTTTATAAAAAAATTTTACTGCTATTATCACAGCTACATAATAAGAAATAAGATGTCAATAAAATAAAATACCAAATGTGTAATGAGTGATTAGAATAGATATCAACAGTTTCACATCAGCTGTGTCCTTGCTTGCAAAACCTAAGAGACAACACCAGAAGTAAAAACCTATGTGAGGTACAGTGTAAACACAAACAAAAGTCTAACTACATAAATAATCTTTGCTTCATCTGTCACAGTCAAGGCAGTTTTCACACATGACAACTGCATGTTCCATACACAAGTCACACTTACACTGATAGCATGTATGTTTTGTTTTCCTGTCCTTTCTTATAGGGTACAGTTAACATCTTTTTTATTTTCCTGTTGTCAGCAGTAGGTCTTTAGGATGCTGTGCCTGCCTGTTCACCTGTCAGCTTATCAGTGTTCACCACAATTTTTTTTGTGTAGTTCCCTGGGCAGAAACATTTTTCTTTTCCTCTGCTATAAATTATCTCTTAGGAGCTCCATTCCCAGTCCTCTAAGAAAATTTCTCTGTGCTTTTTGCACTTGTTTTTTTCTTTGTAAACTGTTAAACTATTTATTACATACATGCTTAGGATCAAGTAAAACACAACCATTGGCCAATGTTTTGTGTTTCAAGTGACATCATAATTACTGCATCACTCATCACCACATCTACTCCACCTTTGGTTTTATTGTAGAAAGTTTCTGTTTCAGGATTGGGTTTTGTCAAGGTTTCCCTATCAATAGTTCCATCGTGATGCAATGTTGACATCATCAGTACCAGTTTGTTTTTCTTTGCCATATACAAGGCCAATGTAAATCTTTCTGAAATCCAAAGATTGTACTATAAGATTCTTTTTTGTTTTTGTTTTTGTTTTTCTTCTAGTACCAGGAATCAAACTCACGACCTTGCAATTGCCAGGCAGGCACTGTGCCACTGAGCTAAATCCCCAGCCCCTCTTTTTTGAAATTGCAGCATTTCATTTGGAATTTCTGCTTTGTTCCTACATACAGTTCCTGTGCTATTCAACTTGTGCTCTGTTAGCAAATGTCACACCAGTTGGAAACTAATTGTTGAATGTCACATTGTAATTACTTTGGAAGGTAGGAGCAACAAGTCTGTTCACAATATCATTTGGTTTATTACTATATGAATAAGACCTAATGCTGAGTTCCAGAATAAATTTCTAAATTGAAAGCCTAATAAGTCTTTGCATCTATAAGGGCATAAATTTTTATGCCACATTTTGACCCATCACTTTTCCATAGGTCTTTCACATTTCTGCATTTACCATGAGAAGTCCCTGCTAAGTTCAGCAGACGTATGAATGCTTTCAGTTCAGCTAGTGAGGTGTCATAATAAATAGATTTTTAATATGGCTATTGGTGCATACAGGATATTTTACTTGTATTTCAGCCTTTGTGTATTTCACAGCATCTTGTAGCATTTTGTCTGTTACAGTTTGCAACACTGAATGGTAGTGTCTCATTCTGTCCAGTATGTCTCACCCCTGCCAAGACCCTCACTATATTTTCAGACCTAGTTCTAACATTGGATCCTTCCATTTGGTTGCATGGCCATTTTGCAACATTTCAGTTAATCAAATATGTAGTCAAATATGCTGTTTTCTCTGTCATCTGAATCAGGGACATCTGGATTCCCTGTGTCTGTATCAGTCAATTCTCACTCCATTTCACTGTTACAGGAACTTTGGCTCACATGGCCAACGTCAAAGTTGTCATCATTGTCACCATCATCATCATCCACCCACACTACTCTTCTGTTATGAAAGCATGTATTTTACCATATTGGATCATCTTCATCATCCTTGTATGAGTAATCTGATGATTCACTTTTGACCTCCTCCAAAACTCTCAAATCCGTTTTTTCATGTACCATTGTACTGAATCAGGCTAGTTCTGCTAAAAAAATCAAAAGAAGATGTTTTTACAAATAAATCCTAGAGTGGTATGGGTGTGCTATACCCTCTGTGATACTCCAGCAAACAGGCACAACCTGTTAGGGCATCACATGGATGTAAATCCTGGTTTGACACTTTTGCATACATGTACACACCTTGCCTTTCATCATACCAAGTAGGTAAACACAAAGATTACTACTTGTATCCCTCAGGCCCAGCTACTGAGATGTAGGGCTGGCTAGTATTATGCTAAAGTAAAAATTTATAGTAAGAAAAGTAAGAAATGGGTTTGTAGAAGCCAGTGTTAGGCTTTGCAGGATTTATAGATTTTATGTTTAAGTCTGTGTCACTTCTGTTTTTAATCCAGAACCTTTTGAAATCATTTTAGATATAACACTATAGTGTGAGTTCCATAAACAGATATACTGATGAATAACCAAGTAAAAATCTGATCATTTCATTTTCAAACTAAGATCTTTTCCGTGGCAATGCATGAAACTTGGCAAAACCCTTAAGAGAGTAGTCCAGACAGCTAATAACAAATGTCTTTCAACCTTTGACACAAAAAGTCAGAAATTCACAGTGCTAACACTCAAAGTAGTATTGAAGTCAGCATTTTCTATCAGCTTTAAAGGACCTTTTAACACCACCAATAACTTTGCCTTTCAAGATCAAGTTGGCAATACATCATTCATTTCAGTGTAGCATGGATTACATCATCAATAGACTTTCTGTTTTAATTACTCTCTTTCAAAGAGGGGTTGGCAAACCTCTAGCAATGAAATACTGCCTTGTCATTAAGAAAAGTGATGCAAGCTTCTATAGCATTATCTGGTGAAAAGAAATGTGGTATATATCATTTGAATTTGAAGCTAGACTAAAGAATACTAAAACTATATCAGATTTATTGTAAATTTTTGATTCAGCTCAATATTTAGAAATCTACACTGTATTACTATAGTCTGAGGTCGACTAATACATTAGCGTTTGAGTCTCAGTGGCATTAAGCACCTGCTGGCTGCCTCTTGCGGTCTAACATGCAAACTTAATGCCCATAGAAAGGTCTTGTTTGTAATATCACCACTCCCACTGGGGGAGCAGGAAACCTCCAGGAGGAAGTCTCTACAGCAGGAGTATTTTCATTTTAAATTTAGTGTTTTGATTTTAAATGTAAAATTTGCATTGTTTAAAAATATTTTATGTAGTATTTATCTGTAATTTTAAAGGTGTTTCTTAGTAATATTTTCAGTAACATTGTTCATTCTTTTTCTTTTCCTCTTCTTCCTTTCACACATTCACCAAAATAAAACAGGGATATTCAACTTACTAACATCAAGACTAAAGACATCTCAGTATAATCCAGTTTCCAAAAACGTTGGGCTTTCCCGTGTGAGTAGACAACCCTCAGACTTAATTGGAAGAGCGTAGAATGGCTTGGGGAGTTGGCTCCATCCATCCAGTTCTGGCTGCCACCCTGACCTTCAGGGTGTGAGAGTGATTTCAGGTGCATGCTGTGGACAGCTGTCCTCTGGAGAAGCGCAGATGCTACCAAACTCTGCTTTTTCTTTACTCTTTCATTTGAGAGGGCCTCTAGTGGGGGAAATATTTTTTAAAGTTGGTTATTAGATGGCAAAATACGTAGTGTTTGTTATCAGAGTATATTGTTAATTGAACTTCGACTCTACAATAATAAACATAAGATAAAACCATTTATTCTGTCACAAAAATCCTGTTTTTAAATTTTATTTTAAAGATAAAAGAATGAAAACATATTAACAAACACAGACATTTACAAAACAACACAAAAACAATTAAAGCAATACAAAATTTCAGACAAGGTGATAGGAAATTAAACATCCTTTTTTGCAAGCAGTATTATTTCTATCTCTGGCCATATTGTGTCTTCCCATCTTCCAAATACATACAAATTTTGGAGAATTATTTTTTGTATGATACATATTTTTAAAGTATGAGATGCTGTTCTATACTCTCTTTTGATATACATATGAGAAAGTATTGCCAGGGATGTAGCACGGAGCCTGCCAGCCTGGCAAGTTCAAGGTCCTGAGTTGGACTCCTGGTACAAAATACCCTTAATTTCCCATTTTTTCCTCTTTCCCTTCCCAGGTAGTAGATGACTTCCAACTGTGACTAAACCAAACTGGTAAATGAATGTCACCAAAGATTGGTTTTCAGTCAGTGGCAGCAGCTAATTGAAGTCTCTATTTCTGCTATAGGAATTCATGAAGAAACTAGAAGAAAAAAGAGCTGAACTCAATAAAGCCACCAGCATGGGTGATGCCGTTTTGGCCATCTGCCACCCCGATTCCATCACCACCATTAAGCACTGGATAACAATCATCCGGGCCAGGTTTGAGGAGGTCAGTGGGCCTCTTCTCGTCCATCTGTAGCCTTGAGAGTTGAGGGTGTGGGAAGTTTTCAGCAATTAAGGGGCACTTACAGCTATGGGAAAGCGAGGTGCCCTCATGGAAGGTGTTCTTTATGATGTCCTTCTTAGGTGCATTATCAGTCTCTGAAATTTACTTTTCTTTAAAAAGTTAAAGGAATTTTCAGCTGTGTCCCTGAGACTCTGTCAGGCAGACCTTTGGCTCACCATTCAGCATTCTATCCCACTCCCATACTGTGTCTGGTGAGCAATCCAGCATTGAATAGTGCCTCAGAAAATACGCACTTGCTGAGTGAGCTGATACCACAATGTGAATTAACTCCTTGTTTCCTATCTTAGCATTTTCACTTTCTGCTCTGTGCTAGTAAGACCCTTTAGAGGATGAATATTTGAGTTCAAGTTAGAAACAAAAAGAAACCTAGGGTGATCGCTAGCATCATTAAACTTCTGATGGTGACGAATATCATCCAGGGCTCCCATCTCCTCCTCGAGCTGGTTTTGGTGCCACTGGAGAATGTCATATGGGTCTAGCCCAGGGTGATCCTAAGTTACACTTAAAATTTGTGTATTTTACGCCAAGGCACTCAGCGAAGTCTATTTCTCCAACAGGTGCTGGCCTGGGCAAAGCAGCATCAGCAGAGGTTAGCAAGTGCTCTGGCTGGGCTCATTGCTAAAAAGGAGTTGTTGGAAGCTTTGCTGTCATGGCTGCAGTGGGCTGAAACTACACTCAGTGAGAAGGACAAAGAAGACATCCCCTCGGAGATCGAGGAGGTGAAGGCCCTCATCGCAGAGCACCAGGTGAGCTCAGCCTACCCCAGCTCTTGTCAGCCGCTGCAGCTTCTTTCTGTCCCTTCAACTCTTATGAAGAGATTGCTGTGTGTTGCCTTGGCTTCCTCCAGTGTATTCCCCGGCTCCTGGCAGCTGGGTTTCTAACTCTGCAGCTGCCCTCAGACCTCTGTCTTGACAGTTACCCGCTGGACCCTTGCAGAACTCTCCTGCGCCGTCCTCTGTGAAGTTCCACTTAGCTGGCCCTGCCCGACGCTGGCTGCTGTACCACCTCTTGCTTTCTGACCGTCAGCTCCGCTCACTCCTGTGTCTCATTCTCACTTCTACACAGCCTGCACTGCACTCCTCTCGCCCGAGCTCACTCACCATAGCTTTAACTGGCACTTCATTGTTTTGTGTTTGCATTTGACCTCTCTCCCAAGATGACCGTCAGTACTCCAAACTCATCATACCTAAAGGGGGAATAGTTGTCTTTCGCAGAAAAATGACTCCTCCTCTGTATCATGCTTGGTTTAAAGTCTGCAGTGGTGGGCATCACACTCACTTGAGTTTGTTTAATATGTATTTGCAACAAGAAGCATTACATGCCAGCTCAGCTAAGCGGTCACCATCGCCATTGTTGTGCTTTAATGCAAGTCTAAGGTCTGCATGCCTGTCCTGGCCCCTGCTGTGTCGGGCAGTGTTCTCCCCGATCAGGGATGTTGACGTCTTCACAATCCTCCAGTATGATAAACATTCCGGAAGAGTCCCCCTTCCCTTTTCACTTTCGTCTGCTGTACCCTTTCCCACCACAGCCCCTGTCTTCCTCCACCCTTGCCACGTGTTTCAGGCACAGGTGTCCCTAGTAAGTAAAATGATAAGCAAGAGAGATGTGGCAAAATCACAAGGTAGTCAACCCTTGAAGCAGACCTGTAATACAATTCAACTATACCTTCCTTGAAATAGCTTATGATTCTTTAAAATATTTGCATCTGATATGGGTGCCTTATTTCACTATATGTCAGGGCCATCTTAAATATTTCAGATATGTAGATGAAGTGTGCCCCAGAAGTTGGGGAACACCCCAGCTAACCAGTTCCTCTGCAGTCAATTGCTCATGAAAAATTCTTGTGGAGAAGCTTGAAGCTTGAGTTTGGTTGGTGTGTTATTCACATGACTGCTCCCGTGTATGGGCTTTCAACTAAAGTTGTTTTTGTTTTTAATTTCAATTTATTTTCCTTACCTGCTCTAACATGTCACATTCTTTAGAAATCAGTAAATGTGGAATGCTGGTTTAGCAGTTTTTAAAGGTGTAACATGGTAATTTATTCTTCTTCAGAAATAATAGCCTGAGGGCTCTGCCTTGTCCTTGTGTTTACTCTTAAGGCTGATTTGGTCCGGTATAGTTTTATTTACCTGACACAATGTCTTTCCCTGCAGTCTTTCATGGAGGAAATGACCAGGAAGCAGCCCGATGTGGATAAAGTCACCAAGACCTATAAGCGAAGAGGAGCTGACCCTCCCACCTTGCAGTCCCACATTCCAGTCCTGGATAAGGGACGAGCAGGAAGTAAGCCATGGCCAATTTCTGTAAACGGAAAAACATTCATCAAAAAAAGAGCTAGTTTCCTTTTAGCTTAGTTATTATTTGAAATTTTTGAGCAAGTACATGGGCTAAAAAGCAACTTGCTTAAAAATAAAAAACTGTGTCTAGGTTTCTGTATTTAACTTTATTTGCTGGAAGTACATTTTTCAGATTAGCTAGAAGACTTGGAAAAGCTTATAAGGAGACAAATTGCCGTTTAAATTGTCTTCTTGGGGCTGGGGATTTAGCTCAGCGGCAAAAGCGCCTGCCTGGCAGGCGCAAGGTCGTGAGTTCGGTTCCCGGTACAGGAGAAAAACCAAAAAATAAATAAATAAATAAATTGTCTTCTTTTGGGGCTGGGGATTTAGCTCAGCAGCACAGTGCCTGCCTGGCAAGTGCAAGGTCATGAGTTCGATTCCCGGTACCAGAAAACAAACAAACAAAAAACCAAAAAAATAAATTGTCTACTTTTTCTTCTGTTATGTAAATAGCATTATAATTGAACATAGGGAAGTGATCAAGACCTGGATAGAGCTCCTAATCTAGCTGCCCACTAATGAGGCCATCTGTTAGACTTTGCCCATGTTCATGTCCCTTCAGGCTCCGTATATGACTTCTCAGGCAGCCATAACGCCACAAAATCACACTAAAAGCTAAACTCACATTGAAAGCTATACCTTGGAGAATATTTATAAGAAACAATTTGTATCACACAGTAAGTATTTTTGACTGGTGCCTTCATATTTTTCATAAAGCGGGGTTGGCACTCTTGTGATTACTGTGTTCCCCCTGGAAGCACACCCCCTGACTTCCCTACCACTTCGCAACTGAGAAGCAGTCCTGACAGCTTCATCACATTTCCTGTAGACCTCCACTTCCCCACCCTGAAAGGGAGACAGCTACAGTCTCGGAGACCACAGCAAGAGTGAAAGAAGCGGACGCACGTGAAGTGCCTGGTGTGCTGCCTGGCATATAGTTCAGTCCTCAATAACGATTATCAATATAATTCCCAGCATAGACACCAGCAGCCCATATGACCATAGGCCAATCATTTTCCTAGCCAACAATTAGCTACCATGTTTCTCTGAAAATAAGACCTAGCCAGAAAATAATCAGCCTTGGAAACTAGACACCAAAAATGCCAGGCGCACCAGCCTGTCTTTACCTCACCTGCCTTACAGAGCAGCCGCTGAGCAAGACACAGTGATGCCACGTGAGGCAAGGACAGGCTGACTGGGGCTGGCGTTTTTTGGTGTGTAGTTTCAAGGCTGATTGTTTTTAAGCTAGCTCTTATTTTCAGGGAAAGAGGGTATATTTACATAAAAATACTTTGCGGTAATTGTCTTACAGAATTACAGAAACTTTGGAAAAATAGCCAGAGGGAGGGAATTCCACAGGAATCTTGGGTACGAGACCGTGTGCAGAAAACCTGCAGTGGAACTGGGATAAAGCTGGGCCCTGTACACACTTTTGTGTTCTGTTCTGTTGGGATTTGTGGAGCATCTGACTCCAACTCTGGTGGCACCGAGGTCTCCGTCCCGCTTGCTCTCCTTTCAGCTTTACATGTGCTCTAAGGAGGGCGGCTGAGTCTGCTGTAACTGATCCTAAGGCGGATTTCACCACGCAGGGGAGATTTCTTTCTCTTGCCTTAACTAAGACGAGGATGGCAGGTGCTGCATCATCACAGTAATGGAGTGAATTCCAAGCAGGAAAATGTTTTAAGCACAAATTTATTGAGAGAACATTTCTAATATTGAAGTGTCCCCATCAAGATATAGTTCTGTAACTTACATGATCGGTGTGTGGGCCTTTGGCAAGGGAGGTTTGCATTTCGACATGATGCGTCATCTAAAGTAGTATAGTTCTACTGGGAGACCAGTAATTAAGTTGATTCAGTCCTGGCTAGCACCAAAACAGGCCAGGATTTAACGCATACCAGAGTGCTGGAAGTAGGCTCTGCCCTCCTAACTGATTTGTACTTTAACAGGAAAACGCTTCCCAGCGTCCAGTTTATATCCCTCTGGATCCCACACACAAATTGAAACCAAGAATCCCAGGGTAAACCTGCTGGTGAGCAAATGGCAGCAAGTCTGGCTCCTTGCGTTGGAAAGGAGGAGGAAGCTCAATGACGCCTTGGATAGGCTGGAAGAGGTTTGGAAATTCTTACATTTGTCTCCGGGTTGTCACTCGCCCTCATTTGTTACACCGCCATGCCAAAATCTTGATCTTCTTTGACATAAGCAAACTCTTACTATTTGAGTGCATACTGTACTTTGAAGATGAATTCCACGAGCATGTGTGCCTTTGTAAAGGACTTAATAAATGAGATTTGGATTTAGGGAATCAGTAAAGCAAAATAATACTGTTTCAGCATCAAGAAACTGATTCTATAAGAAAAGCTCTAACTTGACATGTTCCCTGGCAAATGAAACTTTATAATTCAGAGCCTTGAATAATGTTTACTCAGTGACCTAAGATTAGAGTTTCAGGTCCTAACACTGGGACATTTTTAGACATCTGTGAGAGTTAGGTGTGACAGAGCGGGTCCAGAGGGAGGTAGACTGCAGGTTGCTTAGGAGCTGCTGAGCAGGGGCACAGGACTGGAGCTGGGACTCTGGAGCATGGGAAATTTTCCCTTTAACATTTTAAGGATGGGGCTGGGGATTTAGCTCAGCGGCAAGAGCAAGGTCGTGAGTTCAATTCCCGGTACCGGAAAAAAAATTAAAAAGAACATTTTAGGGGCTGGGAATTTCGCTCAGCGGCAAAGCGCCTGTCTGGCAAGCGCAAGGTCATGAGTTCGGTTCCCGGTACTGGAGAAAAACCAAAAAAAAAAAACAAAAAAAGACAAGAACATTTTAAGGATTTTATTTGTAAAGAAAACTCAGTGCCATTAATGAAATAAACTTTACAGAAAAAAATGTTTCTTAGTCACCTTTGCAAGATTATTTTCTTTTAAATGGAAAATATATATTCATTATCTAGAGGATTATTCTTTAAAATTTTATTCAGATAATGTAAAATGTTTAAAATGTGATATGACACAGTACTAACTCAACCAAAATACCTTTTGCTCCTTTAGCTGAGGGAATTTGCTAACTTTGATTTTGATATTTGGCGCAAAAAATACATGCGGTGGATGAATCACAAGAAATCTCGAGTGATGGACTTCTTCAGGAGAATTGATAAAGATCAGGATGGGAAGATCACCCGGCAAGAGTTTATTGATGGAATTCTTTCCTCGAGTAAGTCCTCAGGGAGATGACTGTAACTGGCACAGTATTTAAGGGAAATAAGTACAGTTTGAAGTTGTGGGCTCAACAAAGAGGTATTGCTAATAAATCATTGCCTTTAAACTGGCTAGAAAGTCACCAGCCTTTAAAAAAAGTATCTTTGGTTAAATTTATGGCTGTGAGGTCTTGCACACTTACTAATTATGTGACCACAGCTGTGTCCCTTGACTCTACTGAAGCTGTATCACTCTTAGTGTAATAAAGTGAATAATGTTTGATTTTTAGGGTTTTTGAGTGTTGTATATAATAGAAAAACAATAAATATAGTTCTCTTTATTATAATTCACATTTTTTTTATTTTAAAAATAAAAGGAGGAAAATACTAGCAGACAGACAACATTTTACAAAATAGCAAAGGATCAGTACAGACAGTACAGAGTTACAAACAGAGTGGTAGGGAATTAACAATGCTTGTTGTATTACATATTGAT